GAAACAATGTGTTTGGGAGTGAAGTGTGTTTAGTAGTAAGACAATGGGTTTGGGGGTGAAGTGTGTTTAGTAGTAAGACAATGTGTTTGGGAGTGAAGTGTGTTTAGTAGTAAGACAATGTGTTGGGAGTGAAGTGTGTTTAGTAGTAAGACAATGTGTTTGGGAGTGAAGTGTGTTTAGTAGTTAGACAATGTGTTTGGGAGTGAAGTGTGTTTAGTAGTGAAACAATGTGTTTGGGAGTGAAGTGTGTTTAGTAGTGAGACAATGTGTTTGGGAGTGAAGTGTGTTTAGTAGTGAGACAATGTGTTTGGGAGGGAAGTATGTTTAGTAGTGAGAGAATGTGTTTGCCAGTGAAACGTGTTTAGTAGTGAGACAAAGTGTTTGGGAGTGAAGTGTGTTTAGTACTGAGACAAAGTGTTTGGGAGTGAAGTGTGTTTAGACAGGAGGAGAAAGGCAGGAAGAGGGACTGCAACTGACGCAAGAGTGTTCATAACGGATTCAGTGTCGCAGGTATTTGATATCCATACCACTTGCAGGTGAAATATCGACGACAGCGCACGTGTATGGAGCTTTGACTGATCGAGGAAAACGTGTGGTATGTTAACAAAGTTCCAGAGAGTACATTAACTTTGTTTCTAAATAATTACAGGATTTGAAAGTTTTTAACATATCCAAGATAATACATGCCTTCAACTAAACATTTATACACAAACTCTGAGCAATGCCAAAACATGGATATATTATTTGTCAACTTGGCCATCAGAAGATCTAAAAGATGAATAATATCTCCTGCACATACGACTATTTTTAGTGTGTGAACAACTGATGACCAAACGTTCAGAAAACGTCGTAAAGGTTGCATTCCCGCGGGATGCATGTATCTACTCGATGTTTAGTATTTTTCTCATGGTTATGCATGAATATTGTATTTGAAGGTCACATGTCCTCAACCAGCAATGTTGTTGCAAGAAGCGACTAACGGGATCGGATGGTCAGGCTCGCTGACTGGGTTGACACATGTCATCGGTTCCCAATTGCGCAGACCGATGTTCATGTTGTTGATCCCTGGATTGTGTAGTCCAGATCCGATTATTTACAGACCGCCACCATATAGCTGGAATATTGCTGAGCGCGGCGTAAAACTCAACTCACTCACTCACTGAACCAGCAATGTTGTGAGTTCTTACCAGCTAGCTGCTCTGTGGTGAGGTAAGGTGTTTAGTGGTGAGGCAAGGTGTTTGCCTAGACACCTATCTCCTGTCTTTACGCCTGGAACCTGCGTACATACGCATACAAACCATGTTTATACACCTGCAACTTGTGTCTAGACACCCATGTCTATATTCTTGCGAATTTGCGCTGACACATCTGGAAGCTGTATGTACACACCTGGAAGCTGTGTCTGTACACCTGAAACATGTGCCTGTAATATGCAAGTTGTGTCTTTACACCTGCGACCCGTATCTGTACATTTGCATGAAGCGTCTATACACCTGTCACACTGTGTGTTTATTCGTCTAAAACGACAATTATTTTCACTGCTGATCTACATTTCTTACCACACTGACACTTATGTCGCTGTAGGTTTAAATTATCTACCACCCTGACGCATATGTCGCTGTAGATCTAATTGCCAACTCTCACGTCAGTTACTGTAGCTTTAAGACTTTTATTTCATAGCCAGTGACATTGTTCTTGTTTCCAGATCGACGAGAGTCTTCAAGAAACCCAAGATAGGTACAAACGTTTCCGTTCCAGTGGAAGCTATGTCCCTGCTGTTGTCGTTCAAGTGAGGCCTGGGACGTTAGAGGAAGTGAAGAAGATCTACATGAAGCTAAACCCGATCTTTACACAGAACAGTTCAAGTACCCAAAGTTCATAAAACACAAAGACGTTGTAGCTTGCTGGCTCTCTCGCAGAGTGATGTCTACCAGCTGAAATTATAGTATGACCAGAAATTATTGAGAATTTTAGGAATATGTTTAATTGGATTTCTAGTATAAACAACCTTGACCAGATATCAAGTGCTTGGTTTCATTCAAGAGAGACAACTCCGTTAATCCTTTTTCATTAGTTTGTGAAGAGTTACTCCCCTTTGTTACTTGCTAGCAGACATTTTCAGTGATCCTCAGTGTGGATGATTTAGAGAAGAGGAAGTTCCAGCTGACCTAACTAACGTGCAGTCTTGATTCAGTAATCTCGTTAATCTCAATCTCGTTAATCTCAATCTCGTTAATCTCAATCTCGTTAATCTCTCACAGAGGCTTCACCGCGAAGCCTCACACAACAACGCAATAATGTTCAAGAGAAACATTTTTTATGGATAAAAACATCTTTATTGCAATAGATGTGACGTATCAGTGTAGATGGTAACACCGTCATCAAGCAAGGGATACACAACATTGGCAAAACAAGCAACAATGTTCTTCGAGATTAACAAATGTCTGAATATGTTATGTGGTGAAAAGAGTTTTATACAAAAGGATCACATTAAATATATGATGATGGGATATGTTATATACTTCTGGTACCGGAATAAAATGCGCCCATGACCCATCCTATCTCTCAATATCCCTTCCGGAAATCCCTACATTTTCCCATTAAGTCCTGTGATTCACATTTTTTAAACGGAATCTCTGTAGCTCTACCCGGCAGTCGGAATTCAAAGTTATGTAAGATTCTATCCGGTCTATCCACCACTTCACTGTCTGGTTTGTTTCACCCGAGTTTCAATGGTCATTGAACAAACGTTCAAGAAAGTGAATCCTCTGGATCCGCCTATGCAGGCGTTTGCAATTTTAATCCATTCTTGTGAATGGTTGGTGCTACCGGTAGGTTAGAACTTGCTTACCATTTTTGGGAACACCCGGTGTCATCACATAATTTTCACAAATATCATTTCCCTTTACACCAAACGAAATGTATTTCTGAGGATAGTCAAGACTAAGTGTTATTTTGCATTGACGATCTACATATATTGTTGTCTACATATATGGTTGTCTGCATGTATTGTTGTCTACATATATTGTCGTCTACATATATTGTTATCTCAAACAGTACCATCACTCGATGCTCACCCTTCTGCCAATGAGTTGCAATGGGATAACGTGAGTCTGTGAGGTAGTGTGGACCATCACAGGGACCGTCCAGCTTTTGGTTGGTCAAGCTACTACCTTCACACACAACCTGACAATAATAAGTCATATATACTTGGGCCACTATAGACAGTAAACAAATCAGAACAGTTCATAACAACCTGACAATATTTAGTCATATATACTTGGGCCACTATACATAGTAAACAAATCAGAACTGTTCATAACAACCTGACAATATTTAATCATATATACTTGGGCCACTATATATAGTAAACTAATCAGAACAGTTCATAACACCCTGACAATATTTAGTCATACATACTTGGGTCACTATAGATAGTAAACAAATCAGAACAGTTGATAACAACCTGACAATATTTAGTCATATATACTTGTGCCACTATATATAGTAAACAAATCAGAACAGTCCATAACAACTTGACATTATTTAGTCATATATACTTGGGCCACTATACATAGTAAACAAATCAGAACAGTTCATAACAACCTGACAATATCTAGTCATATATACTTGGGCCACTATAGATAGTTAACTAATCAGAACAGTCCATAACAACCTGACAATATTTAGTCATATATCCTTGGGCCACTATAGATAGTAAACCAATCAGAACAGTCCATAACAACCTGACAATATTTATTCATATATACTTGGGCCACTATACATAGTAAACTAATCAGAAAAGTTCATAACAACCTGACAATATTTAGTCATATATACTTGGGCCACTATATATAGTAAACTAATCAGAACAGTCCATAACAACCTGACAATATTTAATCATATATACTTGGGCCACTATATATAGTAAACTAATCAGAACAACTCATAACAACCTGACAATATTTAGTCATATATACTTGGGCCACTATAGATAGTAAACTAATCAGAACAGTTCATAACACCCTGACAATATTTAGTCATACATACTTGGGCCACTATATATAGTAAACTAATCAGAACAGTTCATAACACCCTGACAATATTTAGTCATACATACTTTGGCCACTATAGATAGTAAACAAATCAGAACAGTTCATAACAACCTGACAATATCTAGTCATATATACTTGGGCCACTATACATAGTAAACTAATCAGAAAAGTTCATAACAACCTGACAATATTTAGTCATATATACTTGGGCCACTATATATAGTAAACTAATCAGAACAGTCCATAACAACCTGACAATATTTAATCATATATACTTGGGCCACTATAGATAGTAAACTAATCAGAACAGTTCATAACACCCTGACAATATTTAGTCATACATACTTGGGCCACTATAGATAGTAAACAAATCAGAACAGTTCATAACAACCTGACAATATCTAGTCATATATACTTGGGCCACTATACATAGTAAACTAATCAGAACAGTCCATAACAACCAGACAATATTTAGTCATATATACTTGGGCCACTATATATAGTAAACAAATCAGAATAGTCCATAACAACCTGACATTATTTGGTCATATATACTTGGGCCACTATACATAGTAAACAAATCAGAACAGTTCATAACAACCTGACAATATTTAGTCATATATACTTGGGCCACTATATATAGTAAACTAATCAGAACAGTCCATAACAACCTGACAATATTTAGTCATATATACTTGGGCCACTATATATAGTAAACAAATCAGAACAGTTGATAACAACCTGACAATATCTAGTCATACATACTTGGGCCACTATACATAGTAAACTAATCAGAACAGTCCATAACAACCTGACAATATTTAGTCATATATACTTGGGCCACTATAGATAGTAAACTAATCAGAACAGTCCATAACAACCTGACAATATTTAGTCATATATACTTGGGCCACTATATATAGTAAACTAATGAGAACAGTCGATAACAACCTGACAATACTTATTCATATATACTAGGGCCACTATACATAGTAAACTAATCAGAACAGTTCATGACAACCTGACAATATTTTATTCATATATTCTTGGGCCACTATATATAGTAAACTAATCAGAACAGTCGATAACAACCTAACAATATTTAATCATATATACTTGGGCCACTATACATAGTAAACTAATCAGAACAGTTCATGACAACCTGACAATATTTAGTCATATATACTTGGGCCACTATACATAGTAAACTAATCAGAACAGTTCATGACAACCTGACAATATTTAGTCATATATTCTTGGGCCACTATACATAGTAAACTAATCAGAACAGTTCATGACAACCTAACAATATTTAATCATATATACTTGGGCCACTATACATAGTAAACTAATCAGAACAGTTCATGACAACCTGACAATATTTAGTCATATATACTTGGGCCACTATATATAGTAAACTAATCAGAACAGTCGATAACAACCTGACAATATCTAGTCATATATACTTGGGGCACTATAGATAATAAACAAATCAGAACAGTTCATAACAACCTGACAATATTTAGTCATATATACTTGGGCCACTATACATAGTAAACTAATCAGAACAGTTCATAACAACCTGACAATATTTAGTCATATATACTTGGGCCACTATAGATAGTAAACTAATCAGAACAGTCCATAACAACCTGACAATATTTAATCATATATACTTGGGCCACTATAGATAGTAAACTCATCAGAACAGTTCATAACACCCTGACAATATTTAGTCATACATACTTGGGCCACTATAGATAGTAAACAAATCAGAACAGTTCATAACACCCTGACAATATTTAGTCATACATACTTGGGCCACTATAGATAGTAAACTAATCAGAACAGTCCATAACAACCAGACAATATTTAGTCATATATACTTGGGCCACTATATATAGTAAACAAATCAGAATAGTCCATAACAACCTGACATTATTTGGTCATATATACTTGGGCCACTATACATAGTAAACAAATCAGAACAGTTCATAACAACCTGACAATATTTAGTCATATATACTTGGGCCACTATATATAGTAAACTAATCAGAACAGTCCATAACAACCTGACAATATTTAGTCATATATACTTGGGCCACTATATATAGTAAACAAATCAGAACAGTTCATAACAACCTGACAATATCTAGTCATACATACTTGGGCCACTATACATAGTAAACTAATCAGAACAGTCCATAACAACCTGACAATATTTAGTCATATATACTTGGGCCACTATAGATAGTAAACTAATCAGAACAGTCCATAACAACCTGACAATATTTAGTCATATATACTTGGGCCACTATATATAGTAAACTAATGAGAACAGTCGATAACAACCTGACAATACTTATTCATATATACGAGGGCCACTATACATAGTAAACTAATCAGAACAGTTCATGACAACCTGACAATATTTTATTCATATATTCTTGGGCCACTATATATAGTAAACTAATCAGAACAGTCGATAACAACCTAACAATATTTAATCATATATACTGGGGCCACTATATACAGTAAACTAATCAGAACAGTCGATAACAACCTAACAATATTTAATCATATATACTTGGGCCACTATACATAGTAAACTAATCAGAACAGTTCATAACAACCTGACAATATTTAATCATATATACTTGGGCCACTATATATAGTAAACTAATCAGAACAGTCCAAAACAACCTGACAATATTTAGTCATATCTACTTGGGCCACTATATATAGTAAACTAATCAGAACAGTTCATAACAACCTGACAATATTTAGTCATATATACTTGGGCCACTATACATAGTAAACTAATCAGAACAGTTCATAACAACCTGACAATATTTAATCATATATACTTGGGCCACTATATATAGTAAACTAATCAGAACAGTCCAAAACAACCTGACAATATTTAGTCATATCTACTTGGGCCACTATATATAGTAAACTAATCAGAACAGTTCATAACAACTCTGACAATATTTAGTCATATAGTCATATATACTTGGGCCACTATAGATAGTAAACTAATCAGAACAGTTCATAACAACCTGACAATATTTAGTCATATATACTTGGGCCACTATACATAGTAAACTAATCAGAACAGTTCATAACAACCTGACAATATTTAGTCATATATACTTGGGCCACTATACATAGTAAACTAATCAGAACAGTTCATAACAACCTGACAATATTTAGTCATATATACTTGGGCCACTATACATAGTAAACTAATCAGAACAGTTCATAACAACCTGCCAATATTTAGTAATATATACTGGGGCCATTATATATAGCAAACAAATCAGAACAGTCCCTAACAACCTGACAATATTTAGTCATATATACTTGGGCCACAATACATAGTAAACAAATCAGAACTGTTCATAACAACCTGACAATATTTAGTCATATATACTTGGGCCACTATATATAGTAAACAAATTACAACAGTTCATAACAACCTGACAATATTTAGTCTTACACACTTGGGCCACTATAGACTGTAAACAATCAGAACAGTCCATAACAACCTGATAATATTTAATCATATATACTTGGGCCACTATACATAGTAAACTAATCAGAATAGTTCATAACAACCTGACAATATTTAGTCATATATACTTGGGCCACTATAGACTGTAAACAATCAGAACAGTTCATAACAGCCTGACAATATTTAGTCATATATACTTGGGCCACTATACATAGTAAACAAATCAGAATAGTTCATAACAACCTGACAATATTTAGTCATATATACTTGGGCCACTATGGACTGTAAACAATCAGAACAGTCCATAACAACCATCGCAGATGTTTATCTTATCTGTAATCTATGATGCATATGTATGAAGGGCAGTGGTCCCAATAACTGAAAGATACACAATCTATCAAAGTGAACCAACCACAAGAGATCATGACAACCTGTCAAAAACTAGTCATGTATACTTAAGGCACAATACAAAGTGAACCAAATACAGTGGAAGCTGTCAAAACCGGCAGCTGCCCAACCCGGCAAGTTGTCAACACCGGCACCAAATCTCAGTCCCGTCCAGGGCTAGTTCATTTATCGTCATATAAAAGCTCTGCAATCCGACATCTGTCAATTCAAGATCTCGGCATGAAATGAGCCGCCCGAATATGTGTTTATACAGTAATCAGCGCTGTCTAATCCGGCGTGTGGCGAGGAGTTGGTTGGATATGTATTGTCACCAATTAATCCTGCGTTGAAACTACATGCTTGCCGACAAAGATAATTTAATCTTAGTTCAATATGGGTATACTTGTATATGTAATTAGTGAGTTGAGAGAGAAATTGAGAAAACCATGTTATACAACAATGTATATGAGAGTGATAAAACTGGTTCAGTTCTAGTCTTAGGTAACCGTGTCAGCTCTACAATTCGGCACTCTGTCTAAAGTGGATTATTTCTTCAGTCCGGTTGTGTGCCGGTTTACACAGCTTCCACTGTACATAACAAATCAATATTTGATCAACTGGACATAGCCAGCTTCATGTTGTACCAACTCCATAACACACAATTGCAAGTACTGATTATATACACTGTAGAAAAATTACACAGAGAGAGCGAGCTTCATGACTAACTGAAATTGACAATTACTGATAAAACAAACTAGAGGCGATGTTAATCAGCCCCATAACTCTCTTTCTTTCTCCTTCAATCCTCAAAGTTCTTCATATCTAATTTGTTGATAAATCAATGACCAAGAACAACACTATCTTCTGTACACAATCACAGTGACTGCTTCTGAGCAACACGTCCCTGCAAAAGTGTAACGCTAGTTGTTTTCCCACCACGAGTTGCATAGTCAAGGGCTGTCATCCCTTGCTGGTCCGTTACAAAGGGATCAGCACCATTATCTAGTAGAAGTCTGACATTCTCACTGCAATAACCTTCAGCTGCATAGTGAAGAGCTGTTTTCCCAAGTTGGTCGCTCAGTGTTGTCCCAGAGCCTTTGTTCAGAAGTAGACGTACAGACAAACTAGAGTCACGCGCTGCTGCAAAGTGCAGTGGAGTTCTTCCTTCATTGTCCTGCTGACTTGCATCCACGCCATTGTCTAGTAATACCTTAATATTGTCTCCGTGTTTTGTTTCTGCTGCATAGTGAAGTGGAGTTTTCCCTTGTTGATCTTTGGCATATGGGTCTGCACCTTTCTCCAAGAGCCGTTTAACATTGTCACTTGTTCCTTTGGCCGATGCATAGTGGAGTGGTGTTTTGCCTTCCTTGTCTTTAATGAATGGGGTAGCATTATCGTCCAAGAGAAGTTGCAGGCTATAAACGCTACCGCTCTCAGCTGCACAATGAAGTGCAGTTTTACCTTGATTGTCCGTCACAGAATGACTGCATCCGTTCTCAACGAGGAGCTTAGCAATACTCTTCGTCTTCTTGATTCTTTCGGATACAGCCCGATAAGATGTGTCAGTGTACCTACAGATGTTAAAGACATACTCGGCTTCAACTGCAGCATGCAGGGCCGTTTTGCCTTGTTGGTCCTGTATACAGGGATCACCTCCACTTTCCAACAGGAGATTGGCACACTCCCAATTATTATGCTCTGCTGCATGGTGAAGGGGCGTTTTGCCTTCTTTGTCCCGTATACGCGGATCTGCACCCTTCTCCAACAATAAATCAATACTCTCTAGTTTGTGAATTGCTGCCAAGTGAAGAGGCGTTTGGCCCCCATCATCCTTCGCACAAGGATCAGCACCGTTGTCCAAAAACAGTTTCACACTCTCATCGCAGTTTCCCTCTGTTGCAAGGTGAAGAGGAGTTCTCCCTGAATGATCCTTTGTATTGGAATCAGCACCATGAGCCAACAGTTGCTCCACGCTGTCTTTATTGATATCTGCTACGTAGTGAAGGACCGTCATGCCTTTTTTGTCCCTGAGAGACACATCAGCACCTTTGTTCACAATTAACCGAACATTCTCATTGTGTCGATATTTGGCTGCATAGTGAAGGGGTGTTTCACCATTGTGGTTTTGTACACACGGGTCGAAGTTCTTATCTAAGAGAAGCTTAACAATATTTGAGTATTTTGTTTCTGCTGCATAGTGAAGAGGGGTCTTTCCATCTTCGTCTTGTACGTCCCATTCTTGACATCTTTCCAGAAGTAGCTCAACGTTCTCAGTGTTGCAATACAGTAATGCCCAATGAAGAGCTGTCATGCCTTTGTCATCCTGTACAGGGGAATCAACACCTCTCTCCAGGAACAATCTGAGAACTTCACTACATTTATTACGGGCAGCAAAGTGAAGTGTAGTCTCGCAGTGTTGATCCTGAGTGTGTGGATTTGCTCCATGATCCAATAACAGCATGACATTCTCTCTATCAAGACATTTTGCAGCAATGTGAAGTACAGTGGCTCCAAACGTATCCTGTACACAAGGACTGGCTCCATTTTGCAGGAGTAAGTTCATAATGACACAGTTCTGACTTTTCACAGCATAATGAAGGGCATCTCTGCCATAGATATCTGATACACTAGGATCTGCTCCTCCATTAAGCAGAAGCTTAACAGTCTCAGAGTCTTTAAGTTCTACTGCAAAGTGAAGGGCTGTTTTACCATTTTTGTCCTGAACATCTGGATTGACCCCTTTTTCTAAGAACAGCCTCACATTGTGAAAGTGTTGTTTCTTTACAGCTTGTAGGAGCACAGTCCGACCTTTTTCATCTGGAACACGTGGATCAGCGCCTCCTTCTAGAAGTATTGTCAGTTTGTTCTTGTCCCCCTTGATTGCAGCATAGTGAATCACTGTACGGCCCTGTTGGTTCTTTATGTTTGGATCAATACCATGGTTTAGCATTAGCTTAATAAAGCCATCTGATGTAGATATTGCATCTACAAGTGGGTTTGGGACAAAGGCATATAACAGTAAACTGTTCCCAAAGTTATCTTTTTGATTGAAGTCAATTTTTCTAGACGATAGAAAGTGCAGAATCTCCAAATACCCACTTTGTAAAGCTGACTTCACAGCTGGAAATAAGACAGTCCTTCCCAAATGGTCTTTTATACTCAAAGGCACCTGCTTCGTGTCAAGAAGATATTGAAGTTTCTCCACAGCATCAATGGGGGATGCTGCAGCCTTGTGAATTACTGTTTCCCCATTGTCGTCAGCTACGTCAACATCAGCACCATGTTCACAGAGCAACTTAACAACGTCAATATCAGCATTTCTACATGCAGCAAGAATAACTCTCTTACACAACTTTCGTTCTTCTGTGAGGGGCATAAGGGTAATGTTCATATGTTGTGTATCGATGTTCACGTTGGCTCCCTTGTTACACAGATACTTTACAAGAGCAAGATGTCCATACTCTGTTGCTTTATAAAGAAGTGTCCTGTTTTGTTCATCAACCTCATTAATGTCGCTTCCTGCTTTTATGAGTTGAGTAACAATGTTCAGATCTGGAGGGGATGTAAGTTCCATACACAATAAAGGTATACACCCATTGCTGTTTTTCATGTCAACCGGTGCATGCTTTGAAAGTAGTAAGTCAACAATTTCCACCTGGTTGTGTTTGACAGCAATATGAAGCGGTGTATTTCCATTTCTATCTAGTGTATTGACTTCAGTGCCTTTCTTTAGCAGCAGCGACGCACATTCAATGTTACCATGTTGAACTGCAGTGTGCAATAAGAACGCAATGCTGTAAATTACTTCTCGTTCCTGTTCCATATCCGACTTCACCTGTCCAGCTTGTGTGCAACTGAGGATTTCTTCCAGACAATCCCCTCCTCCATAGGCTGCTGCCTGTTGTAGAGGCGTTGGATAATATTCCTCTGTGCTGAACATGTCTTCACCATTTGAATATATATCCTTCACATGCACACCTTGCTCAAGAACAAGTCGCAAAACAGTTGCATCAGCATGAGTTGCTGCTTGCAAGGTGAGATAGTCAAAATCTACCTTGCATCCTGTGCCAAGGAGAATTCTGACTATTTCACTTAGATGCCTCATGTCATAGGGCATAAACAGAGGACACCTATAGCCTTTACTAAGCTCCCTGACAAGCTCTACTAATACATTACTGAAGATCCCCAAGCTGTGTGTGTCACCCTTTAACCTTTTGACCAGTAAGTGTACAATATGTACGTTTCCATTCATTACAGCTAGCCCAAACAGATCTCTTAGATTGGATATGGAATCCCATGTGAACCTTCTGTGCTCTGTCACAACAACGTTGAAAATAGTCTCGGTGACATCGGCGTCTATTTGTCTTGCTGGACAAAGAGCTCTGAAGCAATTTTCATCTGGTGTTGCTCCATTGTCAAGTAGGTTCTTGACAAGCTCATTTCTTCCGACAAACACAGCACAAGACAAACACCCCTGGAGGACGTCTGCACCTGTGTCTCTATTCATAGCAATCAAAATATCCACAAGTCTTTTGATGTTCTTAAAAATCAAACAGGGAACTATCTTCCGAAATCCAAACAGTGACACATTGTTACCTGGACTGGTGAAACACAACCGTTTTTCAGGTTCAAATGCATGCTGCCAGATAGCTTGTATTTTATCTTCGGATTTCCAGTTTGATATCAAACACTGAATGAAGTCGTCATCATGAAAAGCAGCATGGTTCAAGATTTCTATTGGAGCAGTTGGGCCCAACAATAATGTTGTAATCCGATCAGCAAATGTGGGATAGTGATCTTCAGTCAGTAATATGACCATCTCAGTCACATCAGGATAATTTCCTTTCGTTTGAACAAGTTCCAAAAGCAACTGTACAGGGCATGTCTTGATGCAGAGGTTGGTATCGATCTTTGACAATGTGACGAACACACACTCTGATATCGACTGATGCTGAAACTCATATCCATCTTGAGTGCGCTCTAAGTATACACCACAGAGTGAATCAGCCTTTTCTCGGATTCCAACAAGACTTGGATTCTCAGGTATGTCTGCACACACATCTTTTAAAGTTTCAGCTATGTTGCTGAACTCTGGCGTCCTCTTCTTAAGAAGTGTGTGTTTTATGCACCCGTTTTGCATTAGGATCAGGAGAAGAACTAGGTACCCCAAACCATCACTTTCTTGTAGTCTGTTTATCTCCTCTAAGACATACTCATGTGGTCGAAGGAAGAAACTAACTCCCTTACCCTGTGCTTGTTTGCTGTTTGCAAAGAACTTGCAACACTGAGGAAAACCCAGGGCTGCTCTTGATGCAGTAATAACTTCTATATCCTCCGTTGTGAAGCCACTCTTGATTGGACAGATAGTCTGCAGCATTTTCCCTTTCTCACTGTGCTGAAGTGCATATTCTCCCTCATCCAAATTGACACACGGTATGTCCTTCATCAAATTATATTTCTTCAGTTCAGCTTCACACTTGACACTTATTTCTGGTCTCGAAGTGATGACAAGAAGGATATGCTGTGATTCGATTGATGGCCACATAATATTAAATGTTTTTCCCCATTCACCTACTCTTGAAGGGACTAAGTTACTGGACCCAAATATGTTATCTATCATCACAATGTACCTGCGTCGATCACGGCCAGTTCTTTTGGGTATCAGTTTCCATTCCTCCGCTGATGTCAGTAAAACAGGTACTCTGCTGTTGTCTTCAGATAGTTTCGACAGAAGTCTAAGACCAAGCCTTGACTTGCCAGAACCAGATCTCCCTTTGATGAATATTCTTCCGTGGTCTGTCAACAGTCTTAAAGATGACCTCTCGTAATAGGTGGACACGAATGCTTTGTCATCATAACTGATAAGATCATTCGTTGAATCTGAAAAAGAAGTAGATTCGTTTTTACAATTCATGAAAGAAATGACGGTTAATTTTGTGTTAATTTTCCAAATAAAATTCAACTCAATGTTCAAAGGTTGGTAAACGAACTTTCCTTGAGTGTGCGTAGAAACATTTATATGCTGAAGTCATTTTTTCAGGCATGACATCACTTGATCATATCTTGTGAGGTGAGGTGAAATGGGGTTTAACGTCGTACTTAAGATTATTTCGCTTATATGACGACGTGCATGTGTGTGTATGTGTGGCTGCTTGTACTAGCCCAGACTTAAGCTGGTTTTATGGTGCCATCTCACTGAGATACCATGCCGCAGTTAAGCATGAATACCCTACTCAGACACATTATACTGACTCCGAGCCGATCAGCCGAGTACCAGGCAGGAACCAACAAATTCCCTAATTTAACGTCTTTTGGTATGAAGCGGGGGATCGAACCCGCGACCTTCCATTCTCCGGGCGGACGCTCTAACCACTACACCACGGAGGCGGTCGATCATATCTTGTGAAAGCCAGTTTGGGATCTGAATATTTTGAGTAACACAGTACATACCACACATATTTTGGAAACGTCTACCTGAAATGAAACAGAATAGAAACGTTAACCACGTGAAATACAATGCTGCATCTGAGACTTTTTTCAATTGGACAGTTTGTATATGAGCGATGGGATTTTTCTATTTAAGCTAAGCCCGTGGCTTGTTTGGTAGGACTGACTCATTAGTTTTGCAAACCCCATCTGTCATATACACACTTACAGTGAGTGTAGATCGGTTATTTTCAGTGGCATGTCAAAGTTAAATGTCAAAGTCCATGTCAAAGGGTCATCACTTCGATCTAACTAAGTATCGCTCTTCCAGAAGCCAGAAGAATCTCATTAACATTTGCAGGTAGAAGGTGCATTCATATGTCTCTCATGCAGTATTGTGTCATCGTGGTCAAAATGTTTACCGAAATGTTATTCCACTCAAGTGAAATATCGATTTGTGTTCTTTCACATATTTTCACAGATTAGACAACTCCATTTATTCTCTACCATTAATAAGTGATGATAATAAATCAATTACAGCCATATTGATGACATAACGTTATACTCCCAGTAAGAATGACATCACGTAATATTATCTGTATGTGTGATATCACAGTATGTTCTCTGTAAGTATGACTCTAATAATACTCCTTGTATGTATGGCATTATATAATACTATCGGTGTGGAATAATGCTCTCTGTAAGTATGACGTCAAATAATACTCCTTGTATGTATTGCGTTATATAATACTATCGGTGTGGAATAATGCCCTATTTGTGTGTAAGTATGACTCTAATAATACTCCTTGTATGTATGGCGTTATATAATACTATCAGTGTGGAATAATGATCTCTTTGTGAGTAAGTATGACGTCAAATAATACTCCTTGTATGTATGGCGTTATATAATACTATCGGTGTGGAATAATGTTCTCTGTAAGTATGACTCTAATAATACTCCTTGTATGTATGGTGTTATATAATACTATCGGAGTGGAATAATGCTCTATGTAAGTATGACATCAAATAATACTCCTTGTATGTATGGCGTTATATAATACTATCAGTGTGGAATAATGCTCTCTTTGTGTGTAAGTATGACTCTAATAATATTCTTTGTATGTATGGCGTTATATAATACTATCGGTGTGGAATAATGCTCTCTGTAAGTATGACGTCAAATAATGCTCCTTGTATGTATGGCGTTATATAATACTATCAGTGTGGAAAAATGCTCTCTGTAAGTACAACTCTAATAATACTCCTTGTATGTATGGCGTTATATAATACTATCGGTGTGGGATAATGCTCTCTATAAGTATGACGTCAAATAATACTCCTTGTATGTATGGCGTTATATAATACTATCGGGGTGGAATAATGCTCTCTGTAAGAATGACGTCAAATAATACTCCTTGTATGTTTGGCGTTATATAATACTATCAGTGTGAATAATGCTCTCTGTAAGTACAACTCTAATAATACTACTAGTATGTATGGCGTTATATAATACTATCAGTGTGGGATAATGCTCTATGTAAGTATGACGTCAAATAATACCCCTTGTATGTATGGCGTTATATAATACTATTTGTGTGGAATAATGCTCTCTGTAAGTATGATGTCAAATAATACTCCTTGTATGTATGGCGTTATATAATACTATCGGTGTGGAATAATGCTCTCTGTAAGAATGATGTCAAATAATACTCCTTGTATGTTTGGCGTTATATAAAACTATCAGTGTGGAATAATGCTCTCTGTAAGTACAACTCTAATAATACTCCTTGTATGTATGGCGTTATATAATACTTTCGGTAAGCAAGTGTGGAATAATGCTCTCTGTAAGTATGACTCTAATAATACTCCTTGTATGTATGGCGTTATATAATACTATCGGTGTGGAATAATGCTCTCAGTAAGTACAACTCTGATAATACTCCTTGTATGTATGGCGTTATATAATACTATCGGAGTTGAATAATGCTCTCTGTAAGTATGACTCTAATAATACTCCTTGTATGTATGGCGTTATATAATACTATCGGTGTGGAATAATGCTCTCTGTAAGTATGACGTCAAATAATACTCCTTGTATGTATGGCGTTATATAATACTATCAGTGTGGAATACTATCAGTGTGGAATAATGCTCTCTGTAAGTATGACGCTCTAATAATACTCCTTTGTATGTATGGCATTATATAATACTTTCGGTAAAAAAGTGTGGAATAATGCTCTCTGTAAGTATGACTCTAATAATACTCCTTGTATGTATGGCGTTATATAATACTATCGGTGTGGAATAATGCTCTCTGTAAGTATAACTCTAATAATACTCCTTGTATGTATGGCGTTATATAATACTATTTGTGTGGAATAATGCTCTCTGTAAGTATGACGTCAAATAATACTCCTTGTATGTATGGCGTTATATAATACTATCGGTGTGGAATAATGCTCTCTGTAAGTATGACTCTAATAATAATCTTGTATGTTGTATGTATGGCGTTATATAATACTATCGGTGTGGAATAATGCTCTCTGTAAGTATGTACTCTAAATAATACTCCTTGTATGTATGGCGTTATATAATACTATCGGTGTGGAATAATGCTCTATGTAAGTATGACGTCAAATAATACTCCTTGTATGTATGGCGTTATATAATACTATCGGTGTGGAATAATGCTCTCTGTAAGAATGACGTCAAATAATACTCCTTGTATGTTTGGCGTTATATAATACTATCAGTGTGGAATAATGCTCTCTGTAAGTACAACTCTAATAATACTCTTTGTATGTATGGCATTATATAATACTTTAATAATACTCCTTGCATGTGTGGAATAATAATCTCTGTAAGTATGACTCTAATAATACTACTTTGTATGTATGGCGTTATATAATACTATCGGTGTGGAATAATGCTCTCTGTAAGAATGTACAACTCTAATAATACTCCTTGTATGTATGGCGTTATATAATACTATCGGAGTTGAATAATGCTCTCTGTAAGTATGACTCTAATAATACTCCTTGTATGTATGGCGTTATATAATACTATCGGTGTGGAATAATGCTCTCTGTAAGTATAACTCTAATAATACTCCTTGTATGTATGGCGTTATATAATACTATCGGTGTGGAATAATGCTCTCTGTAAGTATGACTCTAATAATACTCCTTGTATGTATGGCGTTATATAATACTATCGGTGTGGAATAATGCTCTCTGTAAGTATGACGTCAAATAATACTCCTTGTATGTATGGCGTTATATAATACTATCGGTGTGGAATAATGCTCTGTAAGTATGACGTCAAATAATACTCCTTGTATGTATGGCGTTATATAATACTATCGGTGTGGAATAATGCTCTCTGTAAGTAAAGTACATCTAATAATACTCCTTGTATGTATGGCGTTATATAATACTATCGGTGTGGAATAATGCTCTCTGTAAGATGACGTCTAATAATACTCCTTGTATGTATGGCGTTATATAATACTATCAGTGTGGAATAATGCTCTGTAAGTATGACTCTAATAATGACTCCTTGTATGTATGGCATTATATAATACTATCGGTGTGGAATAATGCTCTCTGTAAGTATGACGTCAATAATACTCTTTGAATAATGCTATCGGTGTGGAATAATGCTCTCTATAAGTATGACTCTAATAATACTCCTTGTATGTATGGCGTTATATAATACTATCAGTGTTGAATAATGCTCTCTGTAAGTATGACTCTAATAATACTCCTTGTATGTATGGCGTTATATAATACTATCGGTGTGGAATAATGCTCTCTGTAAGTATGACTCTAATAATACTCCTTGTATGTATGGCGTTATATAATACTATCGGTGTGGGATAATGCTCTCTGTAAGTATGACGTCAAATAATACTCCTTGTATGTATGGCGTTATATAATACTATCGGTGTGGAATAATGCTCTATATGTACAACTCTAATATGTAAGTATGACGTCTAATAATACTCCTTGTATGTATGGCGTTATATAATACTAATACTATCGGTGGAATAATGCTCTCTGTAAGTATGACGTCAAATAATACTCCTTGTATGTATGGCGTTATATAATACTATCGGTGTGGAATAATGCTCTCTGTAAGAATGACATCAAATAATACTCCTTGTATTCATGGCATTATACAATACTATCAGTGTGGAATAATGCCCTTTGTAAGTATGACGTCAAATAATACTCCTTGTATGTATGGCGTTATATAATACTATCGGTGTGTAATAATGCTCTCTGTAAGAATGATGTCAAATAATACTCCTTGTATGTTTGGCGTTATATAATACTATCAGTGTGGAATAATGCTCTCTGTAAGTACAACTCTAATAATACTCTTTTTGTATGTATGGCGTTATATAATACTTTCGGTAAGCAAGTGTGGAATAATGCTCTCTGTAAGTATGACTCTAATAATACTCCTTGTATGTATGGCGTTATATAATACTATCAGTGTGGAATAATGCTCTCTGTAAGTACAACTCTAATAATACTCCTTGTATGTATGGTGTTATATAATACTATCGGTGTGGAATAATGCTCTCTGTAAGAATGGCGTCAAATAATACTCCTTGTATGTATGGCGTTATATAATACTATCGGTGTTGAATAATGCTCTCTGTAAGTATGACATCAAATAATAATCCTTGTATATATGGCGTTATATAACACTATCGGTGTGGAATAATGCTCTTTGTAAGTATGACGTCAAATAATACTCCTTGTATGTATGGTGTTATATAATACTATCTGTGTGGAATAATGATCTCTGTAGGTATGACGTCAAATAATACTCGTTGTATGTATGCCGTTATATAGCACTATCGGTGTGTAATAATACTCTTTGTAAGTATGACGTCAAATAATACTCCTTGTATGTATGACGTCATATAATAGTATCTGTAAGCTAGTATGCCGTCAAATCTGGCTCTATGTAATTATGATGTCAAATAATACTCGTTGTATGTATGACGTAACATTATCTGTACGTATGACGCCATATAATACTATCTGTAAGTATGATATCACGTAACACTCCCTGCAAGTGTACTGTGTTTCAGACTATCGCCGCGTCTACTACCTGTGCATTGTAGAATCTCCATTTTCTGTCTTCCTACTTCTTGTTGCAAATCTGTGAAACAAATGTTTTTGGTAAATTCTTTGGGAGCTTTACATCAGAGAAAGATTGCGTTGAACTTAATACACTATTCAAGGGAATTCGCTTAATAAACAAATGATACATTTCAGCTCATTTACATCGTTTTAGAAATAATCGTATATATTCGCAGAAAAACATGAATCTGATATTTTTTCTTTTCACGACTCGATTGTACTATTTAGGGCTTGCTATCGTTATAGATCATGGATATCGGTAATCGTTCACAAAATATCGATCGATTATCGAAAAATACGACATAACCTAGGGCAAAAATGTAAAGTTACTGTTTTCCCATCAAAATCTTCCCTCTTCGTTGATCGATTCCCAACGTGTTATAGACTCGTACGAATAGACTTGTCGACCGGTCTCAGGGTAGGTGGTGCAGTCTCGGAGACTATATCCTAAGGTAACTGGGGATATCAAATGTAACTTACCAGCTGATTTTTAGCTTGTGTATGTAAACTGTCTTTATGTTAAGCATCGCTAGCAAACCGCCTACAATGAACTGATAAAAACTACAGAACAGAGCACTCCAGCCTCATTGCCAATTAATCCCATCTGTCATGTATACTTTGTTCCGCTACCTTGGCTTCCTCCCATTGTTATTGTATCATTACCTACCCCACCTGCTATGTACACCTTGTTCCGCCTCCTCAACATTGGCTTCCTCCTATTGGTATTGTATTATTACCTACCCCATTTGCTATGTACACCTTGTTCTGCCTCCTCAATATTTGCTTCCTCCCATTGTTATTGTATCATTACCTACCCCATCTGCTATGTACACCTTGTTCCACCTCCTCAATATTTGCTATGTACACCTCCTCAATATTTGCTTCCTCCCATTGTTATTGTATCATTACCTACCCCATCTGCTATGTACACCTTGTTCTGCCTCCTCAACTCTGGCTTCCTCCCATTGTTATTGTAATATTACCTACCCCATCTGCTATGTATACCTTGTTCTGCCTCCTCAATAATGGCTTACTCCCATTTTTATTGTATTATTACCTACCCCATCTGCCATGTATACCTTGTTCTGCCTCCTCAATATTGGCTTCCTCCCATTGTTATTGTATTATTACCTACCCCATCTGCCATGTATACCTTGTTCTGCCTCCTCAACATTGGCTTCCTCCCATTGTTATTGTATTATTACCTACCCCATCTGTTTTGTATACCTTGTTCTGCCTCCTCAATATTGGCTTCCTCCCATTGTTATTGTATTATTACCTACCCCATCTGCCATGTATACCTTGTTCTGCCTCCTCAACATTGGCTTCCTCCCATTGTTATTGTATTATTACCTACCCCATCTGCCATGTATACCTTGTTCTGCCTCCTCAATATTGGCTTCCTCCCATTGTTATTGTATTATTACCTACCCCATCTGCCATGTATACCTTGTTCTGCCTCCTCAATATTGGCTTACTCCCATTGTTATTGTATTATTACCACCCCATCTGCCATGTATACCTTGTTCTGCCTCCTCAATATTGGCTTCCTCCCATTGTTATTGTATTATTACCTACCCCATCTGCTATGTATACCTTGTTCTGCCTCCTCAACATTGGCTTCCTCCCATTGTTATTGTATTATTACTACCCCATCTGCTATGTATACCTTGTTCTGCCTCCTCAACATTGGCTTCCTCCCATTGTTATTGTATTATTACCTATCCCCATCTGCCATGTATACCTTTGTTCTGCCTCCCTCAATATTGGCTTCCTCCCATTGTTATTGTATTATTACTTCCCACCCCATCTGCCATGTATACCTTGTTTCTGCCTCCTCAACATTGGCTTCCTCCCATTGTTATTGTATTATTACCTACCCCACCTGCTATGTATACCTTGTTCTGCCTCCTCAACATTGGCTTCCTCCCATTGTTATTGTATTATTACCTATCCCATCTGCTATGTATACCTTGTTCTGCCTCCTCAATATTGGCTTCCTCCCATTGTTATTGTATTATTACCTACCCCATCTGCTATGTGTACCTTGTTCTGCCTCCTCAATATTGGCTTCCTCCCATTGTTATTGTATTATTACCTACCCCATCTGCTATGTATACCTTGTTCTGCCTCCTCAACACTGGCTTCCTCCCATTGTTATTGTATCATTACCTACCCCATCTGCTATGTATACCTTGTTCTGCCTCCTCAACTCTGGCTTCCTCCCATTGTTATTGTATTATTACCTACCCCCATCTGCTATGTATACCTTGTTCTGCCTCCTCAACACTGGCTTCCTCCCATTGTTATTGTATCATTACCTACCCCATCTGCTATGTATACCTTGTTCTGCCTCCTCAACATTGGCTTCCTCCCATTGTTATTGTATTATTACCTACCCCATCTGCTATGTATACCTTGTTCTGCCTCCTCAACATTGGCTTCCTCCCATTGTTATTGTATTATTACCTACCCCATCTGCTATGTATACCTTGTTCTGCCTCCTCAACACTGGCTTCCTCCCATTGTTATTGTATTATTACCTACCCCCATCTGTTATGTATACCTTGTTCTGCCTCCTCAACTCTGGCTTCCTCCCATTGTTATTGTATCATTACCTACCCCATCTGCTATGTATACCTTGTTCTGCCTCCTCAACACTGGCTTCCTCCCATTGTTATTGTATTATTACCTACCCCATCTGCTATGTATACCTTGTTCTGCCTCCTCAACTCTGGCTTCCTCCCATTGATATTGTATCATTACCTACCCCATCTGCTATGTATACCTTGTTCTGTCTCCTCAACATTGGCTTCCTCCCATTGTTATTGTATTATTACCTACCCCATCTGCTATGTACACCTTGTTCCGCCTCCTCAATATTGGCTTCCTCCCATTGTTATTGTATTATTACCTATCCCATCTGCCATGTATACCTTGTTCTGCCTCCTCAATATTGGCTTCCTCCCATTGTTATTGTTTTATTACCTACCCCATCTGCCATGTATACCTTGTTCTGCCTCCTCAACATTGCTTCCTCCTCCTCATTGTTATTGTATTATTACCTACCCCATCTGTTTTGTGTATACCTTGTTCTGCCTCCTCAATATTGGCTTACTCCCATTGTTATTGTATTATTACCTACCCCATCTGCCATGTATACCTTGTTCTGCCTCCTCAACATTGCTTCCTCTCATTGTTATTGTATTATTACCTACCCCATTTGCTATGTACACCTTGTTCTGCCTCCTCAATATTGGCTTACTCCCATTGTTATTGTATTATTACCTACCCCATCTGCTATGTATACCTTGTTCTGCCTCCTCAATATTGGCTTCCTCCCATTGTTATTGTATTATTACCTACCCCATCTGTTTTGTATACCTTGTTCTGCCTCCTCAATATTGGCTTACTCCCATTGTTATTGTATTATTACCTACCCCATCTGCCATGTATACCTTGTTCTGCCTCCTCAACATTGGCTTCCTCCCATTGTTATTGTATTATTACCTACCCCATCTGCTATGTATACCTTGTTCTGCCTCCTCAATATTGGCTTCCTCCCATTGTTATTGTATTATTACCTACCCCATCTGCCATGTATACCTTGTTCTGCCTCCTCAATATTGGCTTCCTCCCATTGTTATTGTTTTATTACCTACCCCATCTGCCATGTATACCTTGTTCTGCCTCCTCAACATTGCTTCCTCTCATTGTTATTGTATTATTACCTACCCCATCTGTTTTGTATACCTTGTTCTGCCTCCTCAATATTGGCTTACTCCCATTGTTATTGTATTATTACCTACCCCATCTGCCATGTATACCTTGTTCTGCCTCCTCAACATTGGCTTCCTCCCATTGTTATTGTATTATTACCTACCCCATCTGCCATGTATACCTTGTTCTGCCTCCTCAACATTGGCTTACTCCCATTGTTATTGTATTATTACCTACCCCATCTGCCATGTATACCTTGTTCTGCCTCCTCAATATTGGCTTACTCCCATTGTTATTGTATTATTACCTACCCCATCTGCCATGTATACCTTGTTCTGCCTCCTCAATATTGGCTTACTCCCATTGTTATTGTATTATTACCTACCCCATCTGCCATGTATACCTTGTTCTGCCTCCTCAATATTGGCTTCCTCCCATTGTTATTGTATTATTACCTACCCCATCTGCTATGTATACCTTGTTCTGCCTCCTCAACATTGGCTTCCTCCCATTGTTATTGTATTATTACCTACCCCATCTGCTATGTATACCTTGTTCTGCCTCCTCAATATTGGCTTCCTCCCATTGTTATTGTATTATTACCTACCCCATCTGCTATGTATACCTTGTTCTGCCTCCTCAATATTGGCTTACTCCCATTGTTATTGTATTATTACCTACCCCCATCTGCTATGTATACCTTGTTCTGCCTCCTCAACATTGGCTTCCTCCCATTGTTATTGTATTATTACCTACCCCATCTGCTATGTATACCTTGTTCTGCCTCCTCAACATTGGCTTCCTCCCATTGTTATTGTATTATTACCTACCCCATCTGTTATGTATACCTTGTTCTGCCTCCTCAACTCTGGCTTCCTCCCATTGTTATTGTATCATTACCTACCCCATCTGCTATGTACACCTTGTTCTGCCTCCTCAACACTGGCTTCCTCCCATTGTTATTGTATCATTACCTACCCCATCTGCTATGTATACCTTGTTCTGCCTCCTCAACATTGGCTTCCTCCCATTGTTATTGTATCATTACCTACCCCATCTGCTATGTATACCTTGTTCTGCCTCCTCAACATTGGCTTCCTCCCATTGTTATTGTATCATTACCTACCCCATCTGCTATGTACACCTTGTTCTGCCTCCTCAACATTGGCTTCCTCCCATTGTTATTGTATCATTACCTACCCCATCTGCTATGTATACCTTGTTCTGCCTTCTCAACAATGGCTTCCTCCCATTGTTATTGTATTATTACCTATCCCATTGTTGTTGTTGTTAATCCCTTTGATGTATTCCCTCATGTTTTCTTACTTAATCCCTGTTACATGTATATAAGTCGGTTCTGTGCTGTAGTACTTTACTCTTGATTGACAACGGTATAAGAAGTCATACCGAAACGTCGCTTCATATCAAATAAAGAAGTTGTTATCCATAAAATATGATACTTTTCTTTTGAATGTGTGTGGTAATGACATATTATACATATTTCATGTATGTTACATGTTAACATCACACTTCTTGACAGCTAACACACACATTAAAATTACATCTTAGTTTTCGTTAAGGCAAAACAAAGATCGGGTGTCATCTCATTGCGGGCTATGTCATAACAACCTTATTTGGCCTCAGATCTCATATCACTCATTCGTGACCCACTCGTGTCATTCAGGGAAATGCCGAAGAATACGGAAAGGGGCGATTTGTGACAAGAACTAGTAATGATAATTCGTGACCCATTCGTGACCAGCTCGTGTTATTCCGGGACATGCCGAATAGCGAGGTTACGGAAAGGGGCGACTGGTAACGAATGAGTAATGATAACACAGATTGCCTCCCTTACCTGAAACCTGTGATTTTACAACCGCTCTTGTCAGTATGTTTACACGACAATAAGGGTCAAGCGGCTCTTTATAACAAAAGTCGTTTCGTCTCCTCCATGAACACATTCAGTATAAACAGAAGACAAACTGGCTCTGGAACACACCAGGGAAATCCATGAGAGGCATAACTGACGGACGTGTATGGGTCTTGTTGAGATAACAATGTTTGACCTTTAAAAGTCATACAGACATAACAGGCTATAAGCTGAAGCAAGAAGCTGCACCCGAAACGGTTTTGCTTGCCTAGATAATAATGTATATGAATGACAAATATGAACAGACAATGAAATATGATTTACCTGCTGGAAGACGAGGAAGGGTGGCAATGCGGAAACGAAGAGCAATTTTCCCGGAAGAGAAAAGTTTCCTACCCGCTTACCTCCCCTTATCTCCGACCACCCTGGTAGATTTTAAGTCCGCCACATGTTTTGACAGAGGTGCTGCTTGTGAACAGGTGCAAAGCAAATGATGAGAAGTAAATACACATAGTATCATAGGCGGACCCAGAGGAGTGTGTGTGCGTGCTCGTGCGCGTGCGCGTGCGTGCCACCTCTGAATAAAACAGACGACTTAACGAAGGTATCACCGTGACGTAATTGGCGGTCGGCCGTTTTAATGATATAAGCTGCAGTAAGTTGTGAAATACAGATTTGCGGTTAATACAGCCTTAAAATCAGGCGTGGCAAGAATTGTCATAGAAAAAAGATCCATTACAGAACAGAACTTTTAACACGCTCATAAGAGGTGCAAATACGCAGTTAAGATACATAGGATGTCGGGATGGTTTTCATGAAACATCACACGTGTCGCAGAGGTTACACGTTCTTTCTTCAGGTGGAATTTTGTGCCACCTTCCTACAATACTTTTATAACGAACACGGATAGGACGAACTGACGGCTATAGCGTACTGTTTTAAAAGTCCCGAATAAACCTTATATTATCATATGAAAAAGTGAATAACGAACACGGATATGACGAACTGACTGCTATAGCGAACTGTTTTAAAAGTCCCGAATAAACCTTATATTATCATATGAAAAAGTGAATAGCGAACTACGGATATAACGAGCTAATGTCAGTGGTCCCTTGGAGTTCGTTATAAAGGTATTTTACTTCTGCATGTAAACGATGGCAGGAAGTTTTAAACAAGAGGGATCTGGTCTAAAATAAACCATCCAACCCAATAGTTGGTTGTCAGGCTCGGCGTCTGTGGCAGCACCTGAGTCCGCGAGGAACCGGTTCGAGGTACAGGCCCTCGTGTCTTTGCGAGGATTAAAGATTGTTTAAAAATAATGTAAAACTTTGGGACGACCCCTGACTCGAAATGTTTCACAGTACAATTGTGGCTTGTGGTTCGAAGCCCAGCCGCGATAGAGATAAATTTCTGTGCATGCGTGCATGCTTGCGTTCCGATCCACAAAATGTTCTCTTACGTCCAGCATAATTTGTTTTCAGCAATTGCTAACCCATTTCAGACTGTGTTACCTCTTGCGACTAGTTATTGGGAACACTTGACACACCCTACCCTGAATGATAAACTTGAAGCTGGAATATTGCTGACTACGGCGGTAAACAATATTCACTCAACCAGCTAATTCTCTGGATAGAGAAAACACAACCATTATATGCAGACAACTTTTAATATTCATGTATGCATATTTGATATTAGATTTTTTACGATCTGTGGGCGGGTGAATTATTTGTTATGAATTCAAATTTTGACTTATAAAATGCCGATAAAACTGTGGCAATAAATAACAGTCACTCAACCAATTAATTCTCTGGATACAGGTAAAACACAACAACCATTATATGCAGACCACTTTTAACATTAATATGCATTTTATGATCCGTGGTCGGATGAACTGTATGTAATGAATTCAAAATTTGACGTATAAAATATAGAAAATGGCTGCATGTAAGGGCCTTCTTTTATCTTTTTAAACTCTGAGGAATATTAGTTATGCAACCGTCTACGTTTTTAAAGTCGTGAGATAGCAGTATGTCCCATCATTCGTCCCCACTCGCCTCTTTCCGTAAACTCGGTATTCGGCTTGTCCCGGAATAACACGAGTGGGTCACGAATGGATGTCACATCTCTCGACGTTCTTCAATCTTCGTTCTTCGTACACTGTGAGATAGCTGGCCTGTTGACATGTACCGGATATGGCCAAGGCATAACACCTTCAGCCCTTTATTACGACCAGTTGTGAAATTACAAAATGTTTAAATGTCGAGAGCTTAAAACAGCTTTGCATGCACATGACCTTTAATGTGAAAATCATACCTACTGTCTTACAAATTATATAATCACTGCTTCTATGTTATGTTTCCACTGTATTTGTAGAGTATCTCTGTTTGGTAATGCCACTCCTGTGTGGTAGCCCTGTGGAGCGTTCGCTCGTCACGCTGAAGACCCGGGTTCGAATCCCCACATGGGTACGATGTGTGAAGCCCAAGTCTGGTGTCGCCCGCCGTGATATTGCTGGAATATTGCTAAAAGCGGCCTAAAACTAAACTCACTCATTCAATCACCCCTTTGTAGCGATTTGTAAGTTTCGTTAATGTTTTTCTTATAGGGCCTATAACTCTCGCGAGGCGCTTCTTCCCATACTAAGCTGGTTCCCGGCTTCCTTTGCGCGCGCCAACTTGCGATTTGCGAGACGGGGTCCAGCTTATTTCCGGTACCAGATTTCCGGTGACAAGCGTATATTCAAGAACCAGTTCTGGCTCCAAATAGGAGTGATTGAGTGAGTGAGTTTAGTTTTACGCCGCACTCAGCAATATTCCAGCTATATGGCAGCGGTCTGTAAATAATCCAGTCTGGACTAGACAATTCAGTGATCAACAGCATGAGCATCGATCTGCGCAATTGGGAACCTATGACATGTGTCAACCAAGTCAGCGAGCCTGACCACCTGATCCCGTTAGTCGCCTCTTACGACCAGCATAGTCGCCATTTGTGACAAGCATGGGTTGTTGAAGACCTATTCTACCCCGGATCTTCACGGGTCTCCAAATAGGACTTTACTACACATGGCCAAGTGTACGTTGTTTGTACTAAGTGCTAAGGTCTCGCCAAGTGTCGTCTCCTACTTATATCACTTTATCTTTGTTTCCAGATTTCACGCCAACTTTTTTATGTACAGACTGCAGTTCCTATTTTGTTCAATCGACACAAAATCCGGTCCAAGTTTCAGACAGCTATTCAAGCTTGTCAGATTTACATAAATTATGCATCATATAACTCGCCATAAAAGCATCAAATATCACTCGAAAAATAGAACACCAACAGAGACAAGTCAGTCTGTGTCCTCGTTCAAACAAAAAGCAGCATATTGTGGCTGGATCACACAAAGAGCATTTGAAAATGTTCCCATCGTTTTCACCAAGTGTTTTGTGTGCTGGTACTGTAGCTTTGTTCCTGGGTGGACTGAGTTTGATACTGGGTACGGTCCTACCCGTGTCCAGGATCCAGTATGTTGCAGGTATGTTATCATCATCATCCTAATCATTATAGGTTCATTAGCTGACCTTAACGTCAAATTAACGTTGTCATGGTTTTTGTGAGTCTATCATGTGCCCAGTAGATGACCTGAAATCTGTTCAGATCTGCTGGACGTATCAACATCACATATATTTAACATGTACTGTCTGGGGTTTTCCTCTAGGAGTTAATTAGTGGAAACTACAGCATTTGCGCTCATCGCTTTCAGAAACTATTGGATATATTGGTTGTAAATTCGTGCTCATCCAGGATCCATTATGTTGCAGGTACGTTTACATAATGTTCCTAATCTGAATAAGTTCATTAGATCACACTGACGTCAAGGTGAGCTCCTGTCGTTATTTTGTGAGTTCGTCCGTCTGTCCAATAGGGCTGAATTGAAATATCTTTATCTCAAAATCTGTTTCCCCGACCGCGTCATACCAAAAGACGTTTAAATATGGTACTTGTTGGTCCCTGCCTGGCGCTCGGCATTAATGGGTACAACAAGGACTGGTCGGCTCGAGTCAGTATAATGTGTCTGAGTGGGGTATTCATGCTTCACTGCGGCATGGTATCTCAGTGGGCTAGCACTATAAAACCAGCAGTGGTAGTACAAGCAGCCGCACATACACATACACACGCATGCACGTCGTCATAATACGCGCAATATTCTCCAGCGCGACGTTCAACCCAATTTCACCTCACCTCACCTCGTACAAAGGATAGAACAGGCAGACACACACATACACACGCATGCACGTCGTCATAATACGCGAAATATTCTCCAGCACGACTTTAAACCCAATTTCACCTCACCTCACCTAGAACACACTCACCTCATAATACCGAAATATTCTCCACGCGACGTTACCCAATTTCACCTCACCTCAAAATCTGCTGATCACTTTTAGAGATCCAAACATATTTACATAAATTCTTGATTTAGATATTTCATCTTCAAACCGACATTACTTAACATATTTTGTCTGTGGTTTGACTCAAGAAATTAACATTGAATACAAATGTAAACTACAGGGCTCGCGCAAATTATTTGTCAGAACCATTAGCTATATTGATCCTACATTTTTAAAGTGTGTTTGCAACATTCTTTTTTACAAAATAGTAACGTCCATTCTAAATATAGATATTTATGAATACACAATGCCATCTTGAAAGTGGTCAAATGTAGCATATGTTTAACTTGGGATTACACTTTCTCAGTAAAGTACAGATTTTAGTACTTTTGTTGGGTTGAGTCCCATCCGGGATTCGAACCAACACTCTCAGAGCCAGGCACTTAATCGCCACCACACAAAGTCAGCCGCCTTTCCCGCTCAGCCACCGCGACAACTGGTTGTCTAGACCACGGATATTTTGTGACGGCAATTATGAAAAATAGATTGTTTGTAGCAAGTATTGTAAGCCCATCTGAGTATCAACATTTCGCCTTTTATTTTGTCTCTCCTTATGTATTTTAACTGTTGAGCAACCAGACGCATTTTATAGTGTTTACTCTGTCTACACATAAATGGCGGCTTTTGGAGGCCAAGTCCACTACCTATGTACTGAGTATATGCTCTTTTTAAAACTGCTGACAACATATATTGAAGCATCTAGCATCACTGTCTACTAAAAGAAAGAGTTTGTTTCCGTGTATGGACTTGAAATATGATCTATGAAATATGAAATAAGTCATAATTCCTATGCAAGAATATGGAATTGCAAATTTACTCAGAATAAATGTCCTGATTGTTGATGGACAACATCACTTGTCCAGAACATCTTTATTGTCACTTTAGCACTGGATGAAGGTGAACTGTTATACTTGATGCACTCTGGCTTATGGGTTCCCCGAATCTGAAGCGGTATGAGCTATGTCATATATACCGTTGCAGATAGATTCGTGAACAGTGGAATAGTGCCGTACACTATTCTATTTCATTACATTACAGGAACTTCATGTTTCCTGTATTAGCTATTTATTTGGAGACCCGCGAAGATTCGCGGTTAGAAATGATCTTCAGTAACCCATGCTTGTCGTAAGAGGTGACTAACGGGATCGGATGGTCAGGCTCGCTGAGATGTTGACACATGTCATCGGATCCCAAATGTGTGTGCTCATGCTGTTGATCACTGGATTGTCTGGTCCAGACTCGATTATTTACAGACCGCCACCATCTAGCTATAATATTATTATAGAGTGCGGCGTACAACTACTCACACATTCATATATTTGGAGTTAAGGTAAAGCTTAAAATATCATCCTTAGCGAACATATTGACGGTTTTTCCTGGACTGACTGATTCTCTAAGAGACACTGCATCCATACTTCTTTAACCATCCTTTCATGCCAGCACTGTGTATTAAAGGTATTAAGCATTTGGAATCGTAGACTTGTTATTGAGATGCATACGATACATCTAATTCAGGCTGTATAAACGTATCATTTGGTACACAGTGACTTGACCACTAATTCATTGCAGGTTCCGGACTTGGAGTTTTACTTCTTCTATTGAGTTTCCTCTTGATGGACGTCATAAGACTGGGCCCAAGTCGTCATCATACATGGACATCGCTTTTGAAGCAGTATATATGGATAAAGAAACTTTATATCAAAGCATACGTGACACCCAGCTACCTTCCTGTCCTTCAAGATGCAATAAATCATCAAAGAAATGTCCTTGGAAGCATCCTCAAGAGGGGTTCAGGAACTGCATATGGACTCGATAACGCCTTTGATTCTGTTACATGTCTGGCAGAATTTCGGTCTCAACAGCCTTTTACATCCCATGAGAACTATGACAAGTACATCCAGCGTATCGTACAAGGGGAGTCTGATGTGATGTTTCCAGGACAACCTGACTACTTTGCTGTGACTTCCGGGACTTCTTCGGGGAAAAGTAGGCCATATCCCAGACAACTCGTGTCAGATTTGCAGAGGCTAATGATTCACAATGTCCACACAAAGAGGAAGCTGTTGGATGTAGCCAACGTTGGCAAACTCAAGTTCTGGCTAGACGTGAGGGCGGCAGCGATTTTCACGCGAACACCAAGTGGTGTCAGGCGAGGTCCTCTAAGTGCAGCTGGGGCCTTCATCTGTCCCTTTAGACCATCACCTGATGCTGCGTATGAAATAAGACAGGAGCAGGCATCCTTGTATGTCCATGCATTGTTCGGTCTGACGTGTAAAGACGTCACCTTGCTAAGCTGCCTCACAGCACCAACAGCCTTGAACTTCTTCAGGGTCATCGAGACACGGTGGGAAGCCATGTGTGATGATATAGAACATGGAAACATCTGCAAGTGTCCTGGTCTGCAGGACGATGTGAGGATCAAGCTTCAGAAGCATCTGACTGCTGATGCAGAGAGAGCTGGTGAACTGAGATGTATCTTCAAGGAAGGCTTCCACAATATTGGACCACGAGTCTGGCCATGTTTGTCAGTGGTACACACAGCGGCATCTGGAACCTACATTCCAGCGGTGAGAAACTAAGACACAGTTTGAAAGTATTTGATGTTGCAACCCCATATATTTTCTAAACAAAATTGACGTATGTCTGGCCTATAAAGTTATAAAAACAATCTTTATTGCCATTCTGTCTATGGTCGAATCACCCGCTGTTCATGTTGTATTCATGCGCCACCCCCAGGTCCATTTTATGACAGCTTGAATGGTATTAAAGTGCAACGTATAGGTGAGCCCTTACAATGCTATCAAGTGATGACCTTGATGACGTCACATTGCTACGACATCGCTGCACTGCAAGTCTAATGGTAGTACTGTGTTCAGAGATGTATATGTTTCATTGAAAAGTAATGAAGAGTGATTTTTGATGATAAATAGAATCTCATCCGCGTGTGTAATGATATCAATTATATCAACACTTGTTGATAAATGTAAAAATATTTGTAATTTTATCAACCTGTGTTGATATAATTGATATTCGTAGACACTTGGGTGAGATTCACTACATATAACAAGACATGTTCCAGATAAAATAGCATCTGCATTTTTCAAAAGGACATTAAAACATCATTTACTTATATGTGACGGCATCGTGATTTTCAAGTGGCTATTCTGAGGCAAAAATACACAGACCAACTACCCGTTTTTTTTGTTGGCGTTGAATGTTAACAAAGTGCAGTAATAAATATATAACAATATACGTTCCAGATCAATCAAAAAGTTTCTAACGAGCGAGTTGTTTCAACAGGACATAAACATCAGTTAGTGTCTATCATTTCACAGCATCTTGACTTTCAGGTGAACATTCTGAGACAGAAGTACCTAGTGGACATCCCAATAACCTCCAGCAAACACATGGCGTCCGAGGGGTTGTATGGCGCCAACATGAACATTATAGACCAGATGAAGACGGAGTACACCATCCTCCCTGATCATATGTTTTACGAATTCATCCATGAAGTTGATGTTGATCAGGATAATCCACAGTCGTTGCTGGCTCATGAGGTTGGAACATTTTTTGTTTCTTTTGAATCACTTTGCCGAAATATTCATGATCTATTCACCTTGTGTGAGAACACGTTACCACAAACAACAAAGAAATGTTATATAATTAACAAATTGTATTCTAAAATCAAAGCGCCTTTGAGCAGCTGGGCTGGATGTTGGCGCTATACAAATGTTAGTATAATAATCCAAATATAATAATAAAATGAACTACGTTTACAAATCACTATAAAGGAATTGCAATGGCACTCCAAATTATATGGATGTATAAATTCAAAGTCAGAATGAAAGTATCATCAAAATGCCATCCTTGAAATGACACCAAATTCGAACGTTGTCAGCTTCTTCCAAAGAGTGTACCCGCGGCCGTCTGGGCAAGAGCTTTGAGTTCTGGGTCCTTGTAACCTACACACCTTTTCCTTTCTCAACAGACTAACAGTGAGAATGTTTATTACCCTCCCTTGAAAATTTAGACAGGTCGAAAGAATGGTCTATGAAAGTAACTGGTATCATTCTGAGAGGAAATTAGCCTCGCCTAAGCACGAGTAACAACACTGGAAGGAAACATACCTGGAAGTTCCTTTTCAAGATTTTCAGTACTTTCTGAAGCTCATTGACAAACAACAGGATCAGCCAAACATTTTCCCTCTGCCAGATCTTTACAATTGGCAAGTCCACACCTTCAAGAGAGGGTCAACAGCTCCAACTTGAGGAACAAATTTTCAACCGTCACTATTGTTAGTGGCATCAAGTATAGACCATCAGAGCTGATGGCCTCGCCTGGGGCCACAACTGTCTGTGGGGCCTCGTGTTGTAGGCTCATGATTTAAGGGTTGTGCTCTGGGGACATTGCAATTTCATAATCGAGGATGAATTCCTTTTTGTTTCTGTCTGTTGAGTTGGGTTTGTATAAGTGCGGTACCATATCTAAACAAACACATGCACATTGTGTGAGTGACGGGTGCTTCTCGTCAAGCTCATCCTTAGAGCGAAAACGTGATGTCCACACAGATTTTCAGAACTCCATTCCTATAACTTTCATCACTGTTTTACAAAGTGTTTCGACAGGCAATCGAGACTGACTGTTCCTTCGCAACTGTGTCCTCCAGGTGGACATTGGGCAGAGTTATGAGATGGTCATCACCAACTGGTCAGGACTGTACAGATATCGGACAGGAGATATCATCCGTGTTACCAGCTTCACTGGTCAGGCGCCAAACTATGTTTTACAACAACGGTGAGTATAATGAACGATGATGTTGTGGAACTCTTTTAAGTCTTCACATGTGAATCATCAGAGGTTGTTGTGAACTGTTAAACGATTGTAGACAGTGAAACCTTGTTATACCGGACAGTTGCTTTCTCAGAGGAACTGCTCAGATTACCACATTTTTCTAGTTCACGAATCACGAATAACGTTTTCCTGGCAGATTTAATTGTGATATCAAATTCCTCATCGGTGTTTTTTGTTCATGTCGGTGTGTGTTTTGGTATGGGTGTGGTGGTGGGAAGAAGGGGTGCAATGCTGCTTCTGTCCTTGTCAGATGTTACGTGTCACCTGTGACCTCCCTGTTGTATCCTGCAGGAAAGGAGACGGGTACGGCATGTATCCAGAGTTCCTGTTCACTGAGGCTGTTTCGAAAGCTTCCAGAACGTGGACGTCTGGGACGATGTTCAACTACATGGCTGTCGGCAACTTCATCGTTGAGGAACTGACAGGTGATTGCAAACATAGGGTAAACGGGGAACCCAAGTCAAATTCTGACTAAAATAGAGTAGCAGGTCGCACCGGGTTGGAATAAATTGATTCATTTTGTTTGTGATGTTGGAAACATACATACATATATATCCTGTTTTGATATATATATATATATATATATATATATATATATATATATATATATATGTATGTATGTATGTATGTATGTATGTATGTATGTATGTATGTATATATGTATGTATGTATGTATGTATGTATGTATGTATGTATGTATGTATGTATGTATGTGTATGTATGTATGTATGTATGTATGTATGTATGTATGTATGTATGTATGTATGTATGTATGTATGTATGTATGTATGTATGTATGTATGTATGTATGTATATCTATCTATCTATATCTTTTGTTCTTTCGGGTCTGTTTAATCTATCCTATTTACGTCCACACAGATGACTAAAAGGGGCAAAACGACGATGTTTCCAACATCACAAACAAAATGAGTCAATTTATTCCCTATATGTTTGGACGGCTTTCATTTTTTCCTAATAAAATCAGCTTTGGTCAAATATTTGCCATGTACATATTCAATCTTCACATATTACTCTGTGAACACCTACAAAATCTGCTTTTTCAGACTTGGGTAATACTATATATTTCATTATATGAACGTGGCACAAGATGGCATGGTTATCTAGAAACGTTCTACTTCTGGAAACAATCGGTGATTGAAATCGTGAGCTTCGATCAAAGCAGCTGGACAACAAGACAGGTATATGGTTGTGATGAATTTGTTTGGTAGTGGGTCAGGTGTTTATAGTGAGGCAGGTGTTTATAGTGGGTCAGGTGTTTATAGTGGGTCAGGTGTTTATAGTGAGGCAGGTGTTTATAGTGGGTCAGGTGTTTATAGTGGGTCAGGTGTTTACAGTGAGGCAGGTGTTTATAGTGAGGGAGGTGTTTATAGTTCGTCAGGTGTTTTTAGTGGGTCAGGTGTTTATAGTGAGTTAGGTGTTTGTAGTGGGTCAGGTGTTTGTAGTGAGTCAGGTATTTGTTAATTAGGTGGGCGTTTGGTAGTGAGACAGACATTTTGTAGAGAATTCTGTGTTTAGTAGTGAGGTTGGTGTTTGATAGTGACGCAGATGTTTGGTGGTGAGTCGGGTGTTTTTAATTAGGTGGGTTTCGGGTAGTGAAGGAGGCACTTGAATTGGGTCTTTAGTAGAGGTAGATGGGTGTTTAGTAGTGAGGTAGATTGGTGGTCAGTTGAGTGTTTAATAGTGAGGCAGACATTTGGTGGTGAGTAGTAAGGCGGTGATCAGTAGCAAGACGGTAGGAGAGATGAGGGAACACTTCTGAACCAACAACTGCAACAGTTTCCATAACGGGTTCAAATGCGTACGTATAACTGATAATTTATACCACTTACAGGCGAAATATCTACGACAGCGCATGTGTATGTCTTCATAGAAATGCTTGGTGATGGAGCTTTGACCGATCGGGAAAAACATATGGTATGTAGACTCGGTTTCAGAGATTAAATTAACTTTTTTTAAACCTTTTTTTTCCTTTTTTAAAGATTTAATATTTTAATCCATGGCTTCAACGAAATGTTGATGCACAAAATCTAACATGATGTAGATGTTATCCAAAATGTGAAGAATATTTCGAAAACATTTCCAGTGTCCGCTATAAAATGACCAAGTACTCCAATTCAAGAACAGAAATGTTGAGAATGTTTATCTATCTGGTGTATCTTAACGGTCTCATGGTTAGCCATGTATAACTGAGGTGAAAGTAATACACGGTTCTGTTGTACATAGGCTGTTCTGTGGAATTGTCCGCCCACGTATAGCCTGTGTTTATACTCCAACAACCTGTTCCTGCAGAATTGCGTCACTGTTGGGATACTTTGTCACATTGACACTTGTGCTACTGATGGGATACTTTGTCACATTGACACTCGCGTCACTGCATTGTCATAGTGACACCATTGTCACTGTTGGGTCACATTGTCACGCTGACGTCACTGTTGGTCACACTCTTACACTGACGTCACTGTTGGGTCAGAATGTCACGCTGACGTCTCTGTTGGTCACAATGTCACGCTGACGTCACTGTTGGTCACACTGTTACACTGACGTCACTGTTGGTCACACTGTCACACTGACGTCACTGTTGGTCACACTGTCACACTGACGTCACTGTTGGTCACACTGTCACGTTGACGTCACTGTTGGTCACACTGTTACCCTGACGTCACTGTTGGGTCACATTGTCACGCTGACGTCACTGTTGGGTCAAACTGTCATGCTGACGTCACTGTTGGTCACATTGTCACGCTGACATCACTGTTGGGTCACACTGTCACGCTGACGTCACTGTTGGTTACACGTTTGACGTCACTGTTGGGTCACACTGTTACACTGACGTCACTGTTGGGTCACATTGTCACGCTGACGTCACTGTTGGTCACACTGTTACACTGACGTCACTGTTGGTCACACGTTTGACGTCACTGTTGGGTCACACTGTCACGCTGACGTCACTGTTGGGTCACACTATCACACTGATGTCACTGTTGGGTCACACTGTCACACTGCCACTGTTCGTCTCATTGTCTGTCACCCTGAGACATACATTGTATGTGACTGTCTGATCTACATTGTCTGTCACCCTGTTACTTCAGTCACTATGTGTTTAAGACCTCGATTTGATGACCAGTGACATTATAATTGTTTCCAGATCGACGAGAGTCTTCAAGAAACCCAGGATGGGTACAAATGGTTACGTTGCCATGGGAACTATGCCCCTGCTGTCGTCGTTCAAGTGAGACCTGGGACGTTGGAGGAAGTGAAGAAGATTTACATGAAGCTAAACCCCGACCTTCACGCCCAACAGTTCAAGTACCCAAAGTTTATCAAGCACAAGGACGTTGTAGCTTGTCTGCTCTCCCACAGACTGAAGTCTACCAGTTGATGACGTCTATCAGCTGATTAATAACATACAGCATTTCCTCTAATAAGCGCCGGGCCCCTAATAAGCGCCGGGGGAAAGCAGCGGTTTAAGAAATATAAGCGCCGGGTCTCTTATAAGCGCCGGGTACGTTTTTTATAAATGTATTCACCCTTGATCTAAAAATAGATATATTAAGGAATGGTCCCTAAGTTCACTCACAATTAATTACGGTACACCCAGTAAACGCAATAAGCGCAAGACCTCCAAAAAACACCGGGGCTGGAGTCCGGGCGCTTATTAGAGGAAATACGGTACCTTGTGTATCATAAATCAACTCTTTCTGCTGATCTCATAACATACTTTCTGTATGCCAAATCAAGTATACCAGTATATGTCATATCGAGTCTTGTGTATGCTGAGTGTTGTGTACCTGTTGGTCTCCTAAATTCTGACGGATGCTAAATCTAGTCTACCTGCTGATCTTAAAACGTTAGGTATATGCTAAACCTAGTCTATTTATTGGTCTTAAAACGTCTGGTATATGCTGAATCTAGTCTATTTATTGGTCCTTAAACGTCTGGTATATGCTGAATCTAGTCTATGTATTGGTCTTAAAACGTCTGGTATATGCTGAATCTAGTCTATTTATTGGTCTTAAAACGTCTGGTATATGCTGAATCTAGTCTATTTATTGGTCTTAAAACGTCTGGTATATGCTGAATCTAGTCTATTTATTGGTCTTAAAACGTCTGGTATATGCTGAATCTACTCTATTTATTGGTCTTAAAACGTCTGGTATATGCTGAATCTAGTCTATTTATTGGTCCTAAAACGTCTGGTATATGCTGAATCTAGTCTATTTATTGGTCTTAAAACGTCTGGTATATGCTGAATCTTGTCTATTTATTGGTCTTAAAACGTCTGGTATATGCTGAATCTAGTCTATTTATTGGTCTTAAAACGTTAGGTATATGCTAAACCTAGTCTACTTATTGGTCTTAAAACGTCTGGTATATGCTGAATCTACTTTCTATTTATTGGTCTTAAAACGTCTGGTATATACTGAATCTAGTCTATTTATTGGTCTTAAAACGTCTGGTATATGCTGAATCTAGTCTATTTATTGGTCTTAAAACGTCTGGTATATGCTGAATCTAGTCTATTTATTGGTCCTAAAACGTCTGGTATATGCTGAATCTAGTCTATTTATTGGTCATAAAACATCTGGTATATGCTGAATCTAGTCTATTTATTGGTCTTAAAACGTCTGGTATATGCTGAATCTAGTCTATTTATTTGTCTTAAAACGTTAGGTATATGCTAAATCTAGTCTATTTATTGGTCTTAAAACGTCTGGTATATGCTGAATCTACTCTATTTATTGGTCTTAAAACGTCTGGTATATACTGAATCTAGTCTATTTATTGGTCTTAAAACATCTGGTATATGCTGAATCTAGTCTATTTATTGGTCTTAAAACGTCTGGTATATGCTGAATCTAGTCTATCTATTGGTCCTAAAACGTCTGGTATATGCTGAATCTACTCTATTTATTGGTCATAAAACATCTGGTATATGCTGAATCTAGTCTATTTATTGGTCTTAAAACGTCTGGTATATGCTGAATCTAGTCTATTTATTTGTCTTAAAACGTTAGGTATATGCTAAACCTAGTCTAGTTATTGGTCTTAAAACGTCTGGTATATGCTGAATCTACTCTATTTATTGGTCTTAAAACGTCTGGTATATACTGAATCTAGTCTATTTATTGGTCTTAAAACATCTGGTATATGCTGAATCTAGTCTATTTATTGGTCTTAAAACGTCTGGTATATGCTGAATCTAGTCTATCTATTGGTCCTAAAACGTCTGGTATATGCTGAATCTACTCTATTTATTGGTCATAAAACATCTGGTATATGCTGAATCTTGTCTATTTATTGGTCTTAAAACGTCTGGTATATGCTGAATCTAGTCTATTTATTTGTCTTAAAACGTTAGGTATATGCTAAACCTAGTCTACTTATTGGTCTTAAAACATCTGGTGGGGCGGTGGGGTAGCCTAATGGTTAAAGCGTTGGCTCGTCACGCCGAAGACCCGGGTTCGAATCCCCACATGGGTACAATGTGTGAAGCCCATTTCTGGTGTTCCCCGCCGTGATGTAGCTGGAATATTGCTAAAAGCGGCGTAAAACCAAACTCAGTCAGTCAGTCAGTAAAACATATGGTATATGCTGAATCTAGTCTATTTATTGGTCTTAAAACGTCTGGTATATGCTGAATCTAGTCTATTTATTGGTCTTAAAACGTCTGGTATATGCTGAATCTACTCTATTTATTGGTCTTAAAACGTCTGGTATATGCTGAATCTAGTCTATTTATTGGTCTTAAAACGTCTTACAAGTGTGTGCTTTATGTTTTCTACTTGTTGATCTTATATCCTTCCTGACGTCAGCCAGATCACGGTTACCTTGTAACAAGCATGGTGTATGCTTAATCAATGCTTATATGACATGTCCAATAAAGAAGAAAATATTTCATGTGTAAGATGTCCATGTCACTTGACCTTACACAATTTGTGAATGAGTGAGTGAGTTTGGTTTTAGTCACCTGCGTTGATGTAGTCGAGGATGATGTGGTGACACTGAATACCCCACAGAATCGAACACAGCCCTTGGGATGTCGTTCAATTGTAAATCATTTATTGTTCGAACTGAGCTAACGTTCTATCCAGTTGTAGACGTCGATCATCGCATCCCCGTTCTCTGGGGGAGAGGCAGAGCTCGATTTAGTGCTTTGTTACTTGCACTGGTGCAACACAATATTACAAAGTGCAACCTAGTTATGAGTCTAACTTGCACCAGGTGCAAGTCAATTTTTGAGAAATAAATCAACAATAAATCTAACATTATAGCACAAATATGTCAGCTCATTTTTCTTCTAAACTTTGAATAGCTATGGCACTGAAATATTACTATTCATATACACGTTTTGGCTATGACAGCTCTTGTAAACAGGGATCAGCTGTGTCTCTGTGTTCCTAGGTTTCATAGGTACTACACCACGGAAATATGTTTATGTGCACCGAAACATCTGATGTTTTACCACACTAGGTTGCAACTGGAATTTAGCTGGTGCAACTAGGTTTTTATCTAAGGTTGCACCTGGTGCAAGTAGGTTAACCTCACTTAAATCGAGCCCTGAGAGGTCATGAGAAACTATAGGCCATAAGCTGCCACCTCAAATCAGTTACAAAACGTGCAACATGTAGGCGGACACCTGATATGTCCATGAAATGGAACAAAGGGCAGAATTGATCTCGAACGATGGCCCAGTAGCGCACGCCGCTCAGATTGCTGTTACCATGGCAAGTTATATTTCCTCTTGAATTGTGATGCCACGCGATAAGTTCGAGGAGAAAATTCTTAGGAATGAACTAGGCATGACAGATTTCAGCATGCCGGTGGTTTCGATGGCTTTAGATTCATCTGTCCTGTAACAGCGGCAGTGTTGGGTCATAAACGTCAATGCACGTGCAGTTCATGGTAGTTACCTGTGCACTGCACAGTGATAGACCGTTTGGATCATTCACATTGACTACTTCTAGCTGTCATCATGAAAGCTTATTCAGATGATGCTAAACGTTTAATTAGAAATGTGTTGAATTTTGCTAAAAAAGAGAGCAAACGTAGCAAACCGATTTATAAGGTGTCGGAATACATGAAACGTACAACTTTTGCTCTTGGCATGAAAAAAACATCGTGCTAAAAATTGTGAAAAATAAACCAACAACCAATAAACAAAACCTTGTACAAAAATGTAGGAATCCAAAGTTAGATTCTTTTGACATCAGGGTCATCAGAGATGTCATTCGCCGCCTATTTGCTAGAAATGAACACCTCTTCATACCTGTCACGTGCATAGCTGACCTACATTGACGAACGTTGACCTTTATGACCCAACACTGCCGCTGTTACAGGTCATTGGCTCCCTCCCTCTGCAAGCATTCTGCGTTCTGCTGCTGATTTTGTTGACAGTTACATAGACAGATTCTTTAATACAAATGCATAAAATCGGTGATTTACAATGTGATTAGGTTGTCTGACAAAACATCCACTTGCACAGTTTGAGATCGATTGGGTCATTGGATGAAGAGATATTTACAAAAAACCGGGTCCACATGCATTTCATGCCAAACTATATCTGTCAGTTTGATGTGTTTTCCTAGGATGGGTACTGTCGACGGTAACATAACTGCCCCAAAATACATTGATTTAGTTGATGAGAATTAATGATCCGTAGTTGCCAGGCATTTCGTAAAGGGTGAAATAAAATTCTTACGTATTCCAAGATGAGGTGAGGAAGGTGAAATTGGGTTTTACGTCGTGCTTGAGAATATTTTGCTCATATGACGACGTGCATGCGTGTGTATGTGTGTATGTGTGGCTGCTTGTACTAGCCCAGACTTAAGCTGCTTTTATAGTGCTAGCCCACTGAGATACCATGCTGCAGTGAAGCATGAATACCCCACTCAGACACATTATACTGACTCCGAGCCGACCAGTCCTTGATGTACCCATTAATGCCGAGCACCAGGCAGGGACCAACAAGTACCATATTTTAACGTCTTTTGGTATGACGCGGTCGGGGATAGAACCTGCGACCTTCCGCTCTCCGGGCGGACGCTCTAACAACTACACCACGGAGGCGGTCTATTCCAAGATGATAATGCTCCCGTGCAGAGCCTTCAACGTCAGGAATTACAAGACGGAAAACAATATAGTAACGCATGTTACATATGGGATTGCACTTTCTTAGTAAAGTACAGATTCTAGTACATTTGTTGGGTTGGGCCACTACCAAATTGTTAACCTTGAATGCTAACACTTAAATTCAGAAATACTTGAAGAAGAAAATTTGACTGTTATGTGTTTAGCATTATTGTTTAGGTGAAGTTGAGAGTTACGGTCGGTGGTATTAGTGGAGCCCTGCTGATATCTTTAGGCTTGTTCTCTTATGAAAAGGGGCGGCGGGGTAGCCTAGTGGTTAAAGCGTTCCCTCCTCACGCCGAAAACCCGGGTTCGATTCCCCACATGGGTACAATGTGTGAAACCCATTTCTGGTGTCACCCGTCGTGATATTGCTGGAATATTGCTATAAGTCGCGTAAAACTAAACTCATACACTGACACTTATGAAAAACAACAACACTGACACAGACACATATATAGACGAAACCTGATTTGCGCACTATCCAATCTCATATAAGATAAAAGATAAGATAAGATAATTCTTTATTATCCCAATAAAGGGAAGTTTGTTTTGCATCATACGTTCTCCAGTTTTTCTTTCATAAAGCAGCCATACATATGATTTCAATTGGTAAGCATAAAACTATTGTTTAAAATAATCAGGATATAAATACATCAATTTAGTACACAAATATAGATATTGGCTAGAATTAGGACAGTTGGAAGACAAGTCATTCATTGAATTAGTGGTTAATACATCTAATACTAGCTGGAACAAATGAGTGGCGAACCCTGTTTGTTCTAAAAGTCGGGGAGCGGTGGGGTAGCCTAGTGGTTAAAGCGTTGGCTCGTCACGCCGAAGACCCGGGTTCGAATCCCCACATGGGTACAATGTGTGAAGCCCATTTCTGGTGTCCCCCGCCGTGATGTTGCTGGAATATTGCTAAAAGCGGCGTAAAACCAAACTCAGTCAGTCAGTCAGTCTAAAAGTCGGCATATGCAGCCTGCGTTCAGAAGGTAATGATGAATATTCAGAAAAGAGTATGTGAGTAGGATCACTTAAAGTTTTGTTTGCCTTTTTGAAAATTGCCGGTCATAACAACTGCCGATACTTTCGATAGGAAGCCCAATAATTTTAGACGCAGTGTTTGCGATTTTTGAGAGTTTGTTTTTATTCTGGACAGACAGGTTCCCGAACCAACTCACGAAATATAAGGTTATCACACTTTGAATGAAGGTTTTGTAAAATAACATCATGATAGTTTGGTCGATTTAAAAATGTTTCAACATTTTAGTTTTGTTTCAATATTTGTAGTGTAAACTAGTATTTCAGATTGTCCGTGTTTGCACTAATCACGAGCACTTCCGTGAAGTTCTTTGGACATAAAAACACTTTCAGGTGAACATTATCAACAATTCTCTGTGAATGTATATTTAGACAAAACTATCTTATGTTTATCACAGTTTGGAAATGTAATACACAACCATACGGGTTTTGGCGCTAAATTGACTTTACTCTGATATTTATATGGAAAGTCTCGTGGTTAAAGCGTTCGTTCGTCACGCTGAGGTCCGCATTCAATTTTCCACATTGGTATAAGACCAGTGAAGATCCGAGTTAGAGTTGATCTACAGTAACCCATGCTTGTTGTGAGAGGTGACTAACGGGATCGGGTTGTCAGTCTCCCCTGACCTTGTTGACACATGTCATCGTATGCCAGTTGCGTAGATCAATGTTCATACTTTTGATCACTGGATTGTCTGGTCCAGACTCGATTATATACACCAACGAACGGACAAGATATACTTCTGGGCAGTGTCCAGTTGTCCTGATTCGGGACAAGCTTTCTTCACTTCCATACTGCTGTCAAGAAATTATCTTCCCATATTTGTTCAGAATAACCCTCCTAACCGGTGCATATAAAATGTAAATAAAACCATAGTTTAAAGCATGCTAGTACACGTCAATATTTAAACAATGTTGTCAATATTGCTTATGGGACATTTTTCGATGGTTCGTATGCATAATATTTGGCTTATTTACAAGCTTTTGTAAGAACGGAACGAAATGATAAAAAGAATAAGAATAACCCTAAGAAAAAATATAGATCTTGAGTGGGTGAGTTGGGTTTTACACCGCTTTTAGCAATAATACAGCAATATCAAGGTGCTGGACACCAGAAATGGGCTTCAAACATTGTACCCATGTGGGGAATTGAACCCGGGTCTTCAGCGTGACGAGCGAATGCTTTAACTATTAGGCTATTCCACCGTCCCTGAATCCTAAAACGTTGTGTTTCTACAATGACTGAACAAAGTAAAATATGGTACTCTCTCCAGAGTTGCTATTTGTACGCATTCTATATGAGTAGATTATAACATTAATGAGTATAAAATGAAGTTGGCATTATGTTCACTTTGGTGTTTCACTTTTACTAGGGAGACAATATAAGGTAGAGAGAGTATCCCTGGTTTTATTGAGAAAATGTGACGTTTTGATTACATTGCCTGACTATATTGACTAGTATCCGTTTTCATAATATAGAACATCTCGAGCGGATAATGTTACATAAATGAGTGACCCCGAATGATATGAAACTGATTTTTCCTAAGAAAAACTTATCATCCGAAACAAATAACCGTTTTAACGGACCATTTTGGCAACGGTCCGTTTTGATCCGTTCAAACAGGTGCGTTCGGTTAATCCCGGTGTGTTCACAGAAAAAAAATTCTTATTTCCCACCTCGGTTTTGTATTTTTCATACTTACTAGATATTGCATTCATAAAGTATGACGACAGTTTGTAGTTTGAACATTTCTGTTAATGTTTAAGAATTTCACGGAGACACGGTAGTTACCGGAAACACTCGAACATCTCTAGCAACACACAAACAATATGGCGGCCTGTTAACGCGGTAGCAGACAACACAAATGTGCGTTGAGGAATTTAGTTAGTGTACACCTCGGGAGAACGCAAAAGACTGACAACAATATACGGTATTGTCTTTTTACTTGATTTATTGAAAGTAATTTAATTTCTTTGATGCCAGACAACAGTTTCCACAAAATATTCCTCTTTCTGCAGAAATGTAAACTTCTTGTCGTGTTCTACAAATCTTGGGACGCGACCACACAGGTAGAATTTTGAGTTATTAGTATTTGTTATGCTATTCATTTCATGCAATTAGTTCTATTTGGGCTGGTGAAGACGATATTTCTCTCTTTCGTGAAGTTAATTTCTGATTTTGTTCATTCAAGTTCTTGTAGAGAGCCTTATCTTCGAAAGAAGTTGTGTATCTTTGACTTACATGGAATGAGGAAACACTGATTTGTATATAAATTATTCAATATGCTACATGAATGAAACTGCAGTACATTCCAGAGTAATTCCAGAGTAATTTCATTTGTTTTTATTTCAACACAAAGTTATTTTTCTAATGCAATAAGTATATTTTTATCAGGAGTAGAAATATGTGTTCACGATATCACATCATCAATGAACAGGAAAACATGAATGTGTAAAACACTAGAGAAAATTTGCTATTTCACATCACACATAGAATCACACTGAATATGCAAAGAGTTTTTGTTGCCATGGAATTGGAATTGAATAAAACATAGGACCCTTGTCATATTTGTTTTTAACTGTGTTGAAATCTCAGCAAGTGAGGGTTCTAGGAAAGACTTCCGCCAGTGTCCCCCCTTAAATTTATATTCAGATCATATCAACTGAATCTATATTCCTCATCTGATAAGTTAGGTGGGATCTGAGCGGAAATCTTACCGAGTTCTATGTAACAGCATATCACACGATTGTGTAATCATACTTGACCTGTTTATTATCAATGTATTAAGTTGGTTTTTATTTTCATTTCTTTCACAGATTTATACAAACAAGATAAGCTACCACAAGTCAGTTCCAAGATGGATGAAAGACTACGCTGGCTTGAGACTCGTATCAGTTCATCTCTCAGGCCCAGGAATGAAGAACTGAAAAACCTTTTCCTCAATGATGACAACAGGTACTATTCACACAGTACTGGCTGCCGAACAGTTATCGCCATATTTTAGCGGTATTTTCAAAATTACTCTGCCGATTGTTAAATTAATGGAACAGAATTAATTATGATACTTCATTAGCTATTCACCGATGTGTCTAGCCGTTCACTGCCGCTGATCATGTTTTTATATAACGAGCCGGAAGGGAATCATGGCAGTAGAAATAGATATTTTCTCACAACTAACTCAAACAGTCATCGCCATTCCGAATTTCTCATGCCATTCATGAAATAATATATATTTATATCATACAGTAACCTCGAATATTTGATTGTGTGACTATTTGAGTGTTTCTTTTACAGTAGATTGATAGGGAATGAACAATTAATGACTTGTGAACTTGAACTTGCTATTATATAGGTCGTGGGACTTACCCCTGAATAAGCTAAATTGTTTTTATAGGGTTCATAAGTTAATCTTTAATTTTTCTATTATGTTACTTACCGTGAAGAATTTTCTTTTGCTGTCCTTTATTGTTGTCAAATACCATGGGGAAAAAAACCCGGAATTGTAATTGATCGGAACTGCGCATGTGTGATACTTATGTATTGGCGATAACTGTTACGCGGCGATAACTGTTCGCTAGCCAGTACCTTTCCTGTAGTTTTTTGTCAGATATATTCCACTTTTGTGCTGCAAATATTTCTTCAGACCATGTTCATGTTTACACGTGTGTATATGTATCACAACATTAATAATAATAATAAGTCATCCTCTATAGCGCACAGTCTCCAAACACCAAGTGATTGCTCGCGGCGCTTAATCAGAATCTGATTCTTATTACCCCGGATAACCCAAGCTGCCTGTTAGTCGCTAGAAGGTTATAGTCACATGACTTTATCCAACCGGGTACCCATTTTCTGCTGGGTGAACAGAGGCACTTGCCTAAGGTGAGACCACATGTATCACATGTGCTTCGTTGTGGGGCAGGACTGAAGTCCTAGAAAACTCTCAGTAGTCAAGCTGCCAAACACGGTCACCCATCCAAGGATTGTCCGAGCTCGACGTTGCTTAACTTCAACTGATTCGTGACCTGAGCTTTGTGCACAGGACCACGTGCCACCACATTACATTGTACCGACTAGGAAGGGTTAGTAGCATTGTTAGATCTTTAGATAAAAAGGCTAAGCGTGATGCAGGAATTCTGCATGTTGGATGTGATTTCCTACAAATAACTCTGTTAGCCAGATATAAGATGTTTAATGCAGAGGAATAATGTATTTGTTCATTCTAACCAGTAGTGTAACAATAATACATTTTCATATCACAAGGATAAAAATTCACCCTAGCCCATGTCAGTTTCCCTCATGTTAAAGCACCCGTGAAGATCCAAGTTAGAATTGACCTTCAGTAACCCATGCTTGTTGTAAGAGGCGACTAACGGGATTGGGTGGTCTCGCTGACTTGGCTGACACATGTCATTGTATCCCAGTTGCGTAGATCAATGCTCGTGCTGTTGACCACTGGATTGTCTTTTCCAGACTCAATTATTTACAGACCGCAGCCATATAGCTGGAATATTGCTGAGTGCGGCGTAAAACTAAAATCACTCATGAACATAGAGATTTTTCTGGGTTACATCTTCTTTATATTCTTGAGTACAATGTTTCAGGGCATGTTCTGGCCCCATCATCAGGTAAAACTCTAAAACAGGTAAAACAGGTAAAACAGGTCTTCATTGTGACGAGCAAACGCTTTAAAACAAGTAAAACAGGTAAATCATCATTACTCACTCATGTTAGAGGTCTCAATACTTTTTTAGCAATTCAAATCCATATATTCCTCCCATGTTTTACTGAAGTTGTTCCATGTATTGCTTAAGTGACACCTGCAGCCATAAAACCTCTGTAACCTGTCACCAACATAACTGTAGTACTTTATTTGTGAGGTAATATAGTGTTTTTGGTGCAGAATAGGGCTGCGATGAATACACTATGAGGTGAATACAATATGTGTTCCTGATATAAAGTAACAAATATGAATATGTATTCATGAATACTTTATGGTAAAAATATAGGGAATAAATGACAAGAATTGTATGCAATTGCTCAAGTTGAAACATTTAGTTGATATAATTTCGTGCTTTCAAGTTTACACAGATTCCCGAACGTTGGTTGGTTGAGAGAGCGGTCATGTGATCTAAATTTCAAGGTTCATTACTCTTGAACCCCTCTAATCGTTCATACTTATGTAAACACCGTTCATACGTGTGTGAACGTTTTTCGCTTCGGTTTCAAGGACCCCCAATAATTGGTGATACCAATTTCGCGAACGAACCTGTTTCAAGTCACCCCAAGTTTGGCAATGTCACTACCAAACGGATTGCCGAACATTGTTCCTTTTCACAGGAGTTTAATGTCTCGCGAGTTTGCGGGGTTCATCCGCGGTTTTCTGCCCGAGGTCTGTTTAACAACTGCTCAATAAATTTCACAATAAACAATCACAAATAAATAGAATACAACAAGATCTGTTTCCTATTCGCCACGCGCACAACTTCGAAGTCGGTCAGTGTATTATTACTGCGGTCAAACAAGGTATTTACAAGTGAAAAGGTACAATGCCAGTTTGTTAAAATGGTATTGTTATTGCTTCTGATATTTGTTTCTGTTTGATACTGTTATTGATTATACTTATTAAAGCAGGTTTCAAAACCTCATAATGAATTTGTTGTTATATTTTAAAGATCGAATACTTTGAGAACTATTTCTTCAAGGGTTGGGATACATGTGTAAAAGAAAATCGCTGTGTATACAAACATCGCTGCAATACGTCGTTCTTGAACCGAATGGCATTACAACATTTTACAGGTATTAAAACACACTAAACAATGATCATCTACAAGTGGGTGGAAAAGCGTGTATGTGTAAACTTCAAAGTCGCGAAATTATAAGAATTGAATGTCAGTTTGTGTATTGCACTGAAAATGAATGATGTCAAAGCGTTGTTCAAAGCTCGCGTGTAAACTCGCTCGTAAACTCGCTCGTTCACACGAGTTTGAACACCGCTTTGACATCGTTCATTTTTCAGTGCAAACACACAAACTGACATTCAATTCTTAAATGTACTTAAGTAATGCAATAGTCATGATTTCACTGATACTCAAAATGAATTTCGAACATTGCGCTCCAGTTATGGCGTGTTCTGTAATAGGGCTGGAACAATTGAACGAATAATTGGTCAATCAACCGATATCACTTGCATTGTGACTAATTAATATTCATAAAAATTTAAACGTCAAATTAAACTTTAGAAAGTATGTTTATTGAATCAAAACCTGACAACTGCAGTTTGGTTACTTGTAAAACTGCAATATGAACAAAATATTTGTGTGAGTGTCTCAAGAGGAAATATCCTTGATCATATTGATTGTAGTATTAATCGGTGCCTGTTTTGTTTACACAATGTCACATGATTGTGTCCCGTTATTTCCCATATGAGTTTTGTGGTGGGTTTATGATTACCATTGATTATTGATCGATTACTGAGCGCTGATTATCTGTCGGAAATAGAAAAAAACTGTTTTTAGGCTGTTACTCTGTATCCCTAAAATTGACACAATTGCAAATAGCATATGTTGAAATAACCCACTTCGGCCTAACTGGGCGTTCAGTTGGATGCGTAATACGATATCCAGAAAAGCATGTTTACTCGTAAAATCGGCCAACACTTAGAAAAAATACGAATAACTGCTGAAAACAATAGATCAGACTATAGATGGCAATTAGGTCGCTCTGCCAGGTATGACGATGGACCGTCGACTCACCTGGCATGAAATGCATGTGCTGCCTACAGGCACAAGGGGTCATCTCAAAAATATTTTGTGCTTTTTCATGTGTGTTGACTATGTCTCATCTACTGATTAACATCTTACGTGTCTTTCTTTCATAAAGTTTATGTTGAGATATGTAAGAGAGTATGATACCCAAAAACCATAGAAACGCGTCGTAGTATATAGATGGCATGACCACCCGAAGATCGACAGGACTGGATATTATTTGTAAATTGTTATGACGTGCCGTGTACCTCCCCAGTATAATTGCCCTAAAGGATTATCTTATCTTAGCTGATATCTCTATCCCCAAGCCCAACCCCAGGTTTTGCTTTTGAGGCGACCCCTCCTATCTGTTTCTTTTTATAGTGACAGTGAGACTGCATGGTAGCTACATCCTTAATAGTTTCGACATAAAAGTTATTATTTTTTGTACACGTCAGCTATCGTTTATAATGAATCTCGTCCTAATTTCAAATTGGGCATTTAAAAAGTGACCTTTGTAATACAATATCGTCGCACACTAATTTGCATAAAGCCATGGTCTGTTCCAAATAAGTCTTTTTGAACTTAGAATAAAACCGCATTGCTCATTTCTGCACTAATTTCCCCTCAGTAAAGTCCTTTTTCTCCGTTTCCTATCTCCCTACCACTGAGACTGTAGTTAGGCCGAACTTAGTTTAACAGATATTTCACACTTTCACATATCAACTACATAAATTGTAGAGATAAATGAGAAAATACAGTTTTTTTCTATTTCCAACAGTACTATAGTGTGTGTCTAGAAACTTAATGTCAGTCTTTGCCAAAATGGTTTTAATCTGCTTACACAAACTTGGCTCTAAGCATCATATTCAGTGCATTTCAGTGTTATCACCTAGTATTTATCATCTGAGTGAGTAAGTATGGTTTTATGCCGCTTTTAGCAATATTCCAGCAAAATCATGGTGGGGGACACCAGAAATAGACATCACACATTGTACCCATGTGGGGATTCGAACCCGGTTCTTCGGTGTGACAAGCGAACGCTGTAACCACCAGGCTACCCCAGTGGTCTTTATCACCTGAACTGAACAAGAGTTTTCTGGACTAAAAAGTAGACCAGTAGCAAATGTTGCAGTCTGTAACATTCAGGATTGTTCTGTATTTTATCTTGTCGGCTTAAACTTTTAAGGAAAACTGTTAAATGACTCCAAATTATAGCCATGGCAGAAAATATATGCCGCCCATGCAACCCCCTTCCTATGAAGATCCGGGATAGGTTTGGTCTTCAGTGTTCCTTGCAAGAAAAAAATTTACAGGATCAAATGGTGATGCTCACTTCCTTAGTTGATGCATGTTATTTATTGTATTCTTATTGCATCAGAGGCCAAGATAAGCTGCATATCCAGGTAAAATACGCATAGAAAATTTCCAATTACGCATTGAAAAATAATTGTTGCGTACCAATTACGCATTTACACTGTTAGATACGCCAAGAGTTTAAAACAAATGCGTACGGAATATATTTATAAAAATCGCTTGCGTAATGAAAAAGACATCGATTGCTATCAAGTTGTACTGTTAGTATAGGACTAGTGTTGTACTGTCAGTATAGGATGACTGATTTTTTATGAAATCATTTCCCTTATATTTAAGTTGGTTTTGAGTAGGTATGACATAAGGCAGAACATACCTGCTTAGTAAACTTACTCAATGACATAATACTTAGGTGAGTAAAATGACTGAAATATGCACATATTTCAAAGCAGTGGGTAACGGAAAATGAAATACCCACTCAACATTCATAATACCCACTCCAAAAAAATACAGTGGGTACAGTACCCACATTAGCTAAATCTTATCTGGAGCTCTGTGCATTGATCTATGCTCATGATTTCAATCCCAGGACTGTCTAGTCAAGACTTGACATCTATCTTATCTTTGGAACAATGCTGAATGGTGCATTGCACAGCATGAAAAATGGAAAGCAGTGCAGTAAATCCTAATCACAATTGTGACAATGATAGACACTAAGATGAAATGGGATGCAAAAAAGTCAATTCTGTTTATTTTTCTATTAATGAATCCTATAATATCCATTTATTTCAGACTTGCTTTCTATGAGTTTATCAACAATGAAGACATCAAGAAGCTGTTTGTTTACGTGCGCCCGATGCGACAGTTTACAGCTGCGCTGCAACCTCCACATGACCTCAAATCCAAATCAATATTCTTCCTCAAGTGCAATCCTGGAACCAAACTCACCAAAGATAACATGGGTAAGTATGTCAAGTTGATTAGATGTAGAACAGGAGTATTTCCAAATAGAATGGGAAAATCAAGAGATTATTTAAAATATGAAATATTATGTGTTATTATAATGTGAGACTTAGATAGCCCTTGTTTTCAGAGGTGTGGTGAATTTGGGTTTAACGTCGTGCTTGAGAATATTTTGCTCATATGACGATGTGCATGTGTGTGTATGTGTATGTGCGGCTGCTTGTACTAGCCCAGACTGAAGCTGGTTTTATAGTGCTAGCCCACTGAGATACCATGCCGCAGTGAAGCATTAATACCCCACTCAGACATATTATACTGACTCTGAGCCGATCAGTCCTTGATGTAACCATTAATGCCGAGCGCCAGGCAGGGACCAACAAGTACCATATTTTAACGTCTTTTGGTATGAGGCGGCCGGGGATCAAACCCAAGACCTTCCGCTCTCTCGGCAGGCGGACGCTCTAACCACTACACCACGGAGGTGGTCCCTTGCTTTCAGAACCCATGAAGATTCGGATTAGAATTGGTCTTTAGCAACCCATGCTTGTCGTAAGAGTCGACTTATGGGATCAGGTGGTCTCGATGGCTTGGTTGACACATGTCATCATATCCCAACTTTGGACTAATTGTAGGTCGATGCTCATGATGTTGATCACTGGATTGTCTGGTCCAAACTTGATTATTTACAGACTGCTGCCATATTGGAATATTGCTGAGTGCAGACAAACAGACAAACCAAACCAAACCCTGCTTTCAGATCCCATAGCAGCAAACCATCATTGCATCCATCATTGTCAACAGGGGTACTTGCACAAAATTAAGACGTCTTTAGTTGGTAATACAGTACATAATAAACAAATACACAAAGACAACAATGAGCAGATTTTCTGGTCAAACATAACAGGGGTGGAAATAACCCATTGCCCGATGCCCGGGTCCAGTGGTTTTTTCTGTCGGGCAAGCAAATTTGTATATCACACTGTACCGGTGTCCAGTTGACTTTCCAATATTAATTATGTTGTTCATTTAAAAAATCAACAAGAAAACGGCCGGTATAGTGGAAAAATTATCAGGGCAAGTGATTTTACATGTGCCACTGTACCGAAGTACACTAGCAATTTTAAAGTTATTTCCACCCCTGCATAAATGAGAAGCGTGGACTTCAAGCTCAACCTCAGGCCGTTTCCAATTGGCAACATACTAAAGGACCTCAGTTCCACTGATGGATCATTCACGACCAGTTTGCCTTCGAAATGTACCATTAGTACATAATGTGGACACGTGGAACCCTGCTTTTGTTGCTGTCATTGAGTGCTGGGGTAGCCTAGTGGTTGAAGTGTTCACTCGGCAATGACCTGGGTTCGATTCCCTACTTGGGTCCAGTGTGTGGAACCCAGTTCTGGTGTCCCCTACCTTGATATTGCTGGAATCTTGCCAAAAACCATACCTACTCACTCGCTGCTGTATGGCAACCATATATATATGTCTTCATTGGTTATGAATAAATTTAGTATATATATATATACACATCCCTGAAATATTATCAATGTTGCTATCCTGTGAGGTTCACAAAGGATCAGGGCGCGGTGGGGTAGCCTAGTGGTTAAAGCGTTGGCTCGTCACGCCGAAGACCCGGGTTCGATTCCCCACATGGGCACAATGTGTTAAGCCCATTTCTGGTGTCCCCCGCCGTGATATTGCTTGAATATTGCTAAAAGCGGCGTAAAACTAAACTCAGTCAGTCAGTCAGTCACAAAGGATCAGGGTTAGAATTGGTCTTCCATAACCCATGCTTGTCGTAAGAGGCAACTAATGGGATCGGGTGGTCAGGCCTGCTGCCGTAGTTGACACGACATCGTATCCCAATTGCTCATGCTGTTGATCACTTGATTGTCTGGTCCAGACTCGATTATTTACAGACCACCACCAACCAACCTTTGTGGTTCATTTTTACTTTTGCTCAGTGCGTCTATCAGAGTGTCCATGACATATGCTCTCTGGTACTTCAACTTGAAATCAGCTAAAACAGATATTTAAAAATTAATAATTCTTTAGAAACAAATTTTAGGTTAGCCTACCTTTCCAACGTATTTCACTCAATTTACAATCAAATATTTTTTTGCAGATCAAGAAGTGTTTTATATGGACTGTAACAATGTGCCCCTGGAGCACCTGGAACTCACTATTAGAGAGGTGTACCTGCCTTTACTGGGCACCAACCAACCCAGTGTCATGGAGGCCGGTATCAACGGGGACAAGATCATGGATATCTTGCATAGGCTAATGGCAGCAGTGGAGGTCACACAGGGTCATGTCAGGGTAAGCCAGTCTGTGGACAGCATGGTCAGGGACTGTGTTCCAAGCAATCTTAACATTATGATGATCATAAGCCTATGTTCAAGCATGGAAGTTACGATCACCTTTCTGATTTTGAAGTATGGGTGTTACGATCACCTTAGTGTTGTTTTAGTATGGGAGTTACGATCACCTTAGTTATGTTTAAGTAGTGTTAAGATCGCTTTGTGGACAGGGGGCTGGGGCTCGTTCCACAAAGCAATCGTAGCTCTATGACTGTAATAAGTCTATGTTAAAGTATGGGAGTTACGACCACCTTAGTGTTAACATCGCTTTGTGGAAAGGGGCTGGGGCTCGTTCCACAAAGTGACTGTAGTGCTATGACTGTAATAAGTCTATGTTAAAGTATGGGAGTTACGATCTTCTTAGTGTTAAGATCTCTTTGTGGAAAGGGGGCTGGGGCTCGTTCCGCAAAGCGATCGTAGCGCTATGACTGTAATAAGTCTGTGATAAAGTATGGGAGTTAAGATCACCTTAGTGTTAAGATAGCTTTGTGGAAAGGGGGCTGGGACTCGTTCCACAAAGCGATCATAGCCCTATGACTGTAATAAGTCTATGTTAAAGTATGGGAGTTACGATCACCTTAATGTTAAGATAGCTTTGTGGAAAGGGGGCTGGGACTCGTTCCACAAAGCGATCATGGCGCTATGACTGTAATAAGTCTATGTTAAAGTATGGGAGTTACGACCACCTTAATGTTAAGATTCCTTTGTGGAAAGGGGGCTGGGGCTCGTTCCACAAAGCGATTGTAGCACTATGACTGTAATAAGTCTGTGATAAAGTATGGGAGTTACGATCATCTTAGTGTTAAGATCTCTTTGTGGAAAGGGGGCTGGGGCTATCCACAAAGCGATCATAGCACTATGACTGTAATAAGTCTGTGTTAAAGTATGGGAGTTACGATCATCTTAGTGTTAAGATCTCTTTGTGGAAAGGGGGCTGGGGCTCGTTCCACAAAGTGACCGTAGTGCTATGACTGTCATAAGTGTATGTTAAAGTATGGGAGTTACGATCACCTTAGTGTTAACATCGCTTTAGGGCATTGCACTGGCCCAAAATTGTCTTGTTCTAAATATCTGGTGCCTTTCAAGTCTGGTTTCGACAGAGTTCACTGTATATGACCGAAGTCACAAATCCAACCCCTGTCACTGTCAAATGGTTTAATAGGGACAATGTGTTGCACAGGGTCAGATAGTGCTGAACATGCCGTCTATAGAAGTCCTGGCCGAGGCAGCAGCATCACCAAACAGACGAGGAGCAGTTCTACACGTCCTGGAGTCAACAGTCATCAACTGGATCAAACAGATCAGGGTAAGCATCATAGAACTGGCTGGCACGATTCACACCATCATAGAGATGCTTATAACACTGTAGGTAGTTACAATAATATTTTCATGCTTGCAGGTTTTGGACACTGACAGACTATTCGCTAAAAGTTAAAAAAATATAGAAATGATTGTAATTATTTGGATTATGCTTTCAAAGTTTTGAAAAACCATTCATCTTCAGTGAAATCTGTTAGCTACAGTTCCTAGAAGAAAATATCTCTTTATTTCTTTATGTTTTTGTTGATTCTGTCAGTTGCTGTTCTTATGTTTTATTCAATAGGATCATAGTCAAATAACATCTTTATACATTTATACTTTTTCAGTGTCATGAAATAAGGCACCATGTGTGTGAGTTATTCATGAAAGTGTTATTAAGTCAGCTCTCGTTAATCCGACACTCATTAATCTGACAATCACGTTAATCCGACAAAAAAATTAGTGAACCATTTAAAACAGTGATAATTACTCTTGTTCGTCCGACATTCTTGCATTCCAACTCCGACTTACCAATCTAGCAACCTGTTATTGTAAACACGTTGTAAAAACATTCGTTAATCTGACAATCAACACAATCGGTGGGATAATCCGACCGTTAACAAACAATCACACGTGAGTGGTAATTACAGCGTGCCTTACTGGCTGCTTGACACCGACGACATGGTGGTATGTGAATATTTTTACATACAATGAAGATAATTAGATCTACCTTTTCTGATATGCATGCAACAGTATCATGACATTTAGTAAACATTGATATTTTCACACAAATACATTAATCCGACATTCTCGTTAATCCGACATATTTCTATGCAACCACAAGTGTCGGATTAACAAGAGTTGACTCTCGATATTTGGGATTCATTATAGACAGTGATTTTGAAATCTGTAAACAATTATGTCTGGACCAGACAATCCAGTGATTGACATCAGGAGCATGATTCCATAAGTCGTGTCTTATTATGACAAGCATGGGTTGCTGAAGACCAATTCTAACCCAGATCTTCATGGGTCGCATCACCGTGAGCAAGTTTGCTATCAGCCTAAACCAGTTTTATCTGTAACCAGGTGGTGTTGAAGCATGATCCTACAGCAGACTTACAGAATCAGTTCGGCAACGAGCCAGGCCCCTTGGAGGAGATGAAGATGTGGGAGAACCACCTGGACCGACTCCACTCTGTCAACACCCAGCTGGACTCTGACATGTCCCTGGACATTCTACACAACCTGGAGCAGGCCAACAGCCAGTACGCCCACTCCTTCAGCAGTGTGAGGAAGGAGATCAATAAGGTAAATATCACCGTATAATGGTGACATTATTCGAATATTTAACAGATTAGGTTAGGTTACATTTAGCAGTAAAGGTGCCGATACACCTAGAAACATAATCATATTATGGCCTGGATTCAAACCACCCATGAAAGATTCAGTCAGATACCCAATAACCTGATCAACGAAAACGATCAACCCGATCATATTTAGATGCTTGATTGATTTCTAAATCTAAATCAATCAACAATTTTGTAATTGATCCATTAATTTTGCAGTAAACGACATCTTATATATTCATAATAACATGTATTCTATTAGCCATGTCATCTGTATCTATTGACCACCACATGTATTGCGTCGTCATAGCATTGTGACGTCATAAGCATTGTGACGTCATGGCCAGAGTTAACAGTTACTGTTCAGTTTTACCTGATGATGGGGCCAGAACAAGCCCTGAAACGTTGTACTCGAGAATAAAAAGAAGATGTAACCCAGAAAATATCTCTATGTTCACCGATCATATTTGTCTCCCTAAGATGCTTCACTTTCATGCATACTTTTATGTATTACGTCACACTGTTTTGACTTCACTGCATCATTCTTGTCTGCCCCCTTGTAATCAAATGTACCTTTGGTAACCAACGTCACAATGCATGTCAGCTGTCATCAAACTACTCCGTAGCACTCCGTTTCCTGCTTTGAGTTGCTTCACTCCTCTAACATCATGTTGCGTTTAACTTTTGTCGACGGATAAATGTCTCAGCTCGAATCACAATTAAACAGTGATACAGCAATGTTCGCTGATTGAGCCTATGTGCACAGTCTCACAATGCATCGGTGGAATGTCGCGTGATTAGTCAACTTCATCTGGATTTTACTGTTCAAACCTTACATTTGTGTGATATTCACATTTCCCAATGTGGGTTAGGATAATCATATACGTAATACAAGACAAATAACTAGCCCAGAAACGTTGTGAAAAATAAATCAAGAAGTTGTTATCCATAAGATTTGTCTTGTATTACTACACCAACTTCTAAATGCCTTTGAAGAATTTAAGCATATACGTAACTAAAGTAATATTTAACCTGAACGTAAACCATCTTCAAACTGTTTATCATTTGTTTTCACTGCAATGTGCATCTTAACGAAGGGGGGCAGACACGCCACTGGAAGAGCCCATCAATTAGCCCTGAATTAGTATTGTTAATTTAGGTCATTGACACCGTCCCTTTTCTGTTTGTTTTCTGCCTAGATTAATTCCTGTGTGTATTAAATTTGGCATCTTAGAAAAGAAATACAAGCATCCTTGTACTTTAACTATAATAATTAAGGGCCAAAGTGTATTGTATTTCTTTATACATGGGGGTAGAATGAACTGTATTTCTTGATTAAAAATTCAACTAGTGTGTCCATAGTTTTCAATCCAGATGATAGAAATCCTGTTGCACTCTTGTTGGAATGATTCAGCTTCTGGACCCAAACTGATATGGCTCAAAGATGTCCATGGACATTAGCCAGATATCATTTAAAGCAGTGGTCACTTCAGTGGGCTACCTGTTACCCCATTGGTCACTGACAATGTTGATATATGTATGGCTGCTTATAGTCTGTTTGCAGTGAAAATGTACAGGTGAATTTCACTTTAAACAAAAATGTAAATCGAATACAGTGAAATTAAGATTGCGAATCCTCATAATTCTACCTTGCCAATTCAAAAATTAAATCTTAGGTTTTTATTCAACTTAGGAAAAAGTTGTTTAACAAACGATCATTGTTTCAAATCGCTTATATTGGTATGTATTACAAGGGGGTAAGCGCAGTAGTTGGAACAGTGAAACAAATGCACTTGCGGAACGTGATGAGCGTTAACTTAGACCAACCCTCCTTGTTCTCGGTGTTTCATTTAATGTGCATACCCCCTTGTAATACAAACGAATAATACCGATTTGAAACTATGATCGTTTGTTACTCAACTTTTACCCGAAGTTGAATAAAAATCTGAAATTTAAATTTTGAAATGGCAAGGTAAAATTATGAGGATTCGCAATCTTAATTTCTCTTTTTTTGATTTACACTTTTGTTTAAAGTGAAATTCATCGGTACGTTTTCACCGCAAACAGACTATACATGGTTGCTCCTGTTTCAGGCTGTAGCCGAGACTAACAAGATCTTGAAGTTCCTGAGTACAATGAGGCCGTGGTTTGAGAGACTTCACATTGCCACAGAGCCACGGCAGATGCTAGTGTTGTTCAAACCTCTAATGACAGTACTCAAGCTTGTGTGGAGCAGCTCCACGTAAGTACAGAATAGATTGCATTATCAATAAAATATGACTGACTGACGGACTGAGTTTTGGTTTTACGCCGCTTTTAGCAATATTCCAGCAACATGACGGCGGGGGACACCAGAAATGGGCTTCACACATTGTACCCATGTGGGGATTCGAACCCGGGTCTTCGGCGTGACGAGCCAACGCTTTAACCACTAGGCTACCCCGGCGCCCCAATAATAAAATATGAAGTGTTTTAGGTGTCCTATTGTTGTTTCACCCATGATGTTTGTTGTTGAAGGTACTACCACCAGATAGACAAGTTCCACAACCTCCTCAGATTGCTGTCAAATGAAGTTGTTCACAGAGCCATAGCCATGGTTGGAGAGGATGTACTGAGAGAACCATTAGAGGTGAGTGGGTGGGGCAGTGTGGTGGTTATAGCCATGGTGGGGGAGGATGTACTGAGAGAACCACTAGAGGTGAGTGGGTGGGGTAGTGTGGTGGTTATAGCCATGGTGGGGGAGGATGTACTGAGAGAACCACTAGAGGTGAGTGGGTTTGCTAGTGTGGTGGTTATAGCCATGGTGGGGAGGCCATACTGAGGGAACCACTAGAGGTGAGTGGGTGGGGTAGTGTGGGGTTATAGCCATGGTGGGGGTGATGTACTGGGGAACCACTAGAGGTGAGTGGGTTGGGTAGTGTGGTGGTTATAGCCATGGTGGGGGTGATGTACTGAGGGAACCACTGGAGGTGAGTGGGTGGGGTAGTGTGGTGGTTATAGCCATGGTGGGGGAGGATGTACTGAGAGAACCACTAGAGGTGAGTGGGTGGGGTAGTGTGGTGGTTATAGCCATGGTGGGGGAGGACGTACTGAGAGAACCACTAGAGGTGAGTGGGTTTGGTAGTATGGTGGTTATAGCCATGGTGGGGGAGGATGTACTGAGAGAACCACTAGAGGTGAGTGGGTGGGGGGGTAGTGTGGTGGTTATAGCCATGGTGGGGAGGACCGTGCTGAGGAGAACCACTAGAGGTGAGTGGGTGGGGTAGTGTGGTGGTTATAGCCATGGTGGGGGAGGATGTACTGAGAGAAACCACTAGAGGTGAGTGGGTGGGGGTAGTGTGGTGGTTATAGCCATGGTGGGGGTGATGTACTGAGGGAACCACTGGAGGTGAGTGGGTGGGGTAGTGTGGTGGTTATAGCCATGGTGGGGGAGGATGTACTGAGAGAACCACTAGAGGTGAGTGGGTGGGGTAGTGTGGTGGTTATAGCCATGGTGGGGAGGATGTACTGAGAGAACCACTAGAGGTGAGTGGGTTGGGTAGTGTGGTGGTAATAGCCATGGTGGTGGAGGATGTACTGAGAGAACCCTCTAGAGGGTGAGTGGGTGGGGAGTAGTGTGGTGGTTATAGCCATGGTGGGGAGGATGTACTGAGAGAGAACCACTAGAGGTGAGTGGGTGGGGTAGTATGGTGGTTATAGCCATGGTGGGGGAGGGCATTACTGAGAGAACCACTAGGAGGTGAGTGGGTGGGGTAGTGGTGGTTATAGCCATGGTGGAGGAGGACAAACTGAGAGAACCACTGGAGGTGAGTGGGTGGGGCAGTGTGGTGGTAATAGCCATGGTGGTGGGAGGATGTACTAGAGAGAACCACTAGAGGTGAGTGGGTGGGGGTAGTATGGTGGTTATAGCCATGGTGGGGGAGGGCGTGCTTGAGAGAACCACTACCAGAGGTGAGTGGGTGGGGGTAGTGTGGTGGTTATAGCCATGGTGGGGGAGGCCATACTGAGGGAACCACTAGAGGTGAGTGGGTGGGGGTAGTGTGGTGGTTATAGTAGCCATGGTGGGGGAGGGATGTACTGAGAAGAGAACCACTAGAGGTGTGAGTGGGTTTGGTAGTGTGGTGGTTATAGCCATGGTGGGGAGGCCATACTGAGGGAACCACCAGAGGTGAGTGGGTTGGGAGTGTGCGGTGGTAATAGCCATGGTGGTGGAGGATGTACTGAGAGAACCACTAGAGGTGTGAGTGGGTGGGGTAGTATGGCGGTAATAGCCATGGTGGGGGGAGCCAACTAAAAGGGAGCCGTAGGTGTGAGTGGGTAGTAGTGGTGGTTACTTGCCATGGTGGGGGAGGCCATACTGAGGAACCACTAGAGGTGAGTGGGTGGGGTAGTGTGGTGGTTATAGCCATGGTGGGGGAGGCCATACTAAGGGAGCGTCTAGGTGTGAGTGGGTGGGGTAGTGTGGTGGTTATAGCCATGGTGGGGGAGGAGGTACTGAGGGAACCACTGGAGGTGAGTGGGTGGGATAGTGTGGTGGTTATAGCCATGGTGGGGAGGATGTACTGAGAGAACCACTAGAGGTGAGTGGGTGGGTAGTGTGGTGGTTATAGCCATGGTGGGGAGGAGGACGTACTGAGAGAACCACTAGAGGTGAGTGGGTGGGGTAGTGTGGTGGTTATAGCCATGGTGGGGGAGGCCATACTGAGGGAACCACTGGAGGTGAGTGGGTGGGGTAGTATGGTGGTTATAGCCATGGTGGGGGAGGCCATACTGAGGGAACCACTAGAGGTGAGTGGGTGGGGTAGTGTGGGTGGTTATAGCCATGGTAGGGGGAGGATGTACTGAGAGAACCACTGAGAGGTGAGTGGTGGGGGTAGTGTGGTGGTTATAGCCATGGTGGGGGAGGACTGTACTGAGAAGAACCACTAGAGGTGAGTGGGTTTGGTAGTGTGGTGGTTATAGCCATGGTGGGGGATGTACTGAGAGAACCACTAGAGGTGAGTGGGTGGGAGTAGTGTGGTGGTTATAGCCATGGTGGGGGGAGGATGTACTAGAGAGAACCACTAGAGGTGAGTGGGTTTAATAGTGTGGTGGTTATATAGCCATGGTGGGGAGGGCGTACTGAGAGAACCACTAGAGGTGAGTGGGTGGGCAGTGTGGGTGGTTATAGCCATGGTGGGGGTGATGTACTGAGAGGGAACCACTAGGAGGTGAGTGGGTTTGGTAGTGTGGTGGTTATAGCCATGGGTGGGGAGGACGTACTGAGAGAACCACTAGAGGTGAGTGGGTGGGGTAGTGTGGTGAAAGTTGCATAGCCATGGTGGGGGGAGGCCATACTGAGGGGAACCACTGGAGGTGAGTGGGTGGGATAGTGTGGTGGTTATAGCCATGGTGGGGAGGAGACCATACTGAGAGAACCACTAGAGGTGAGTGGGTGGGAGTAGTGTGGTGGTTATAGCCATGGTGGGGAGAGGATGTACTGAGAGAACCACCAGAGGTGAGTGGGTGGGGTAGTGTGGTGGTTATAGCCATGGTGGGGGAGGATGTACTGAGAGAACCACTAGAGGTGAGTGGGTTTGGTAGTGTGGTGGTTATAGCCATGGTGGGGGAGGATGTACTGAGAGAACCACTAGAGGTGAGTGGGTGGGGTAGTGTGGTGGTTATAGCCATGGTGGGGGAGGATGTACTGAGGGAACCACTAGAGGTGAGTGGGTTGGGTAGTGTGGTGGTTATAGCCATGGTGGGGGAGGCCATACTGAGGGAGCGTCTAGGGGCGAATAGGAGGAGCATTCGGATGGTGACAGCTGTAGCAGGGGATGGGGGAAGGAAAGGGATACATAATGAGAGAGCCTCAGAGGTGCTCTAATATTTTATAGTCATGGAAGAATCTTACCTCATGATGTATTATACTAGCAAAGCTGCTGTACAATATTACTTTGACATCATTAATAACAATAATAAGCATATACCACATTTCACTTCTAACTTCTGTGACTTCAGCTAGTAAACACTGAAATCTCTTTCACTCTAATGCGTTTTGCTAGTAAAAAAGCCAAATACCATAACTTAGTTCTACTGAAAATAATGTCGAGTCACAGAATAGTGCCTATGAACTGCACTGTATAGAATTACCTACTGCTGCCTTTCAGTCCTACACTAAGCTGAAGGAGGCATTGAGAGTGTGTGCCGCGTTCCGGGGAACCTACCTGGACTTCAAGGACACAGCTGATGACCTGAACGCTCAGAACATCGCTGAAAACGCAGAAAGACTGTAAGATTGTTAAAAAAATGTCTTTATTGTTTAGTTAATACCTAAAATGTTAATAATACATAAGATTATCTGTTCAGAGTGAATGAATTGATATATCCCATATATTCGGCAAGCGACATACAGCCTTCATTTTCTCAGTTTGTGAGAGTTTAGACTTGTTAAGGCAGCAGTGAAGTATTGGTCTTTCCAATCAGTTTTTGACCGCCTCCGTGGTGTATTAGAGCGTCCGCCCAGAGAGCAGAAGGTCGCGGGTTCGATCCCCGACCGCGTCATACCAAAGGACGTTAACATATGGTACTTGTTGGTCCCTGCCTGGCTCTCGGCATTAATGGGTACAACAAGGACTGGTTGGCTCGGAGTCAGTATAATGTGTCTGAGTGGGGTATTCATGCTTCACTGGGGCATGGTATCTCAGTGGGCTAGCACTATAAAACCAGCTTAAGTCTGGGCTAGTACAAGCAGCCGCACATACACATACCCACGCATGCACATCGTCATATGAGCGAAATATTCTCAAGCACGACGTAAAACCCAATTTCACCTCACCTCACCTCACCAATCACTTTTTTCTTGTTGCAGTGCAGCAAGACCCCAAGGGGCTCTGTTCTCGACTAAAATGTATGGCCCCCATGCATACACTCCACGATATGGACTGCGGAACTCGGAGAGTCACTCCAGCACAGCGTCCCTGGATGAGGAAGACCTGTGGAATGACAGTCCCTGGCCTCCCCGGAACGCTCCATGCTTTGATCTTCTCAACAGCTTCATGGAGAGGTCAGTGAATTAGGGTTTATGTTTGAGGAACAAACAAGCAAACAAACAAACATTACAGAATATGTTGTTTTGTCCCTCAGTACTGAATAAATCTGTTTCAAGTTGTCATCAGATTAGAACTAGTTGAAATATCCTCAGATTGAAACATTTTTGATCAGAGAAATGCAACCATGTTTTAAATCACTGTACAAATATAAATGATTTATAGAATTACGATGTTTTTCGTTTTTATTATTCATTATTTACGAAAGTCGAACTTACATTCTTTGTATCTGAAGCCAAGGTGTCAAACCGATACAGGTGTGCTGAGATATAAAAATGCTTTGAAGAATCTCTGCTTCCCCTCTTCAAACTTATAAAAACCCTCAAATTTGTTTTAGGGATCGTTCATAATTTATCGCTGGGTGATGATGATGATGATGATTTGAAGGGGCGATTACCCATTTTGTTCTGGGGGGTGGGGTGTCTCCAATTTTGTACACATGTACTAGGGGCTGGGGTCATTGATTTTGTACATGACATGCAGGGGGGTCACTTACTTTGTGCATTAATTTGGGGGTGGAGGAGTGGGGTCATTCACATTGTAGATGCTTCTCCATAAAAATCATCATCATCCCCTATAGTGCATTTGGCTCAAAAGCGGACCGATGAATTACAATCTAACTCAAAAACTAATAAACATGTAATACTCAATGAAACGCCGATCATAATCAAAACTTCAGACCAACTCTGTGATTTGTTTGCAGAATTTATGTCCTAAAATTCAAAAAGTTGTTTAACAAACTATCATTAAAATATTGACACAGTTCACTATTTGTTACGAGGGAGGAGTGCAGAGAAAGGGACAGCCAGGTGTTAGAGAAGCAAGTGCTCAAGTGCTGACAAAGTTATTGATTCATTAATCTGTGCTGTGCCGTCTCCATCCTTTCTCACGCGACACCCGGCTGTCCTTTCTCTGCACTCACTCCTCGTGAACAAATAGTGAACTGTGTCAATATTTTAATGATAGTTTGTTAAACAACTTTTTTATTTTAGGACATAAATTCTGCAAAAACTCTACAGAGTTGGTCTGACGCTTTCATTATGATCAGCGTTTCATTGAGTATTTTATGTTTATTAGTTTTCGAGTTAGATTGCAATTCATCGGTCCGCTTTTGAGCCGAACGGACTATAGCCTTAAATTATGCTCGGCCCCTTATCCAACACTTACATTCTGGCGGCAGGTGCAATGATGTGCTGGAGTTGGTGGAGACGACGCGGCACTTCCGACTGCTGGCAGGGGCAGCGGAGGTGGGCGGAGCTGGGAGCTTGAGTCTGGATGCGATGGTGAAGGAGATACACCAGAAATATACCTACGCCATGCAGGAGTTCTTCTCTGTTGTTGACAATGTGTTGAACATAGATGGATCACAGTTGTTTGAGAGGTCCTTCTTCAAGTTCAGGACAGTTGTAAAGGTAAAACATCTTATGGCATTCTCTTCCCACAGAGGTTACATGACATATCTTCCTACGAACCTCTGTCCTAAAATGGCCATATTTCACGGTTCTCGTAAAATACCCTAGCGACAAAAAATCGCAACACGAAGTATCTCCCTTCTTTCTATCCAATCAGAACACGTGTTACATCCACTTAGATCCAGCTTGACTAATACAAGCAAATGTGGGAACCACAAATATCCCTCTGCCGGGACTTGTGTTGATGTGACACACAAGGCATTTAATGGCTAGCTTGTCCGTTGTCAACGAGGGCGATGGAGACGCCATTGATCCCCTATTACATGACTGAGTTCTGTCTAGAAGAAACGTTTGCGCATCGTGCAGGGGAAGAGGTTCTAGTTTTCCCAGGCGGCACAGAAATTACCGCAGGCCTTGCGAAGGATCACATTTGAAACAACGCCGCTTGATTGCACAACTAAATCTGATTGCAACCAATCACTGAATCCTGAACACTCCTCGCACTATGGAAGGGCCGTGATTAGAACAGAGGTTCGTAGGAAGATATGAAAAGTAACCTCTGTGGGAAGAGAGAATGATCTTATGGTTGCACAGTAAATAATAATAAATAATAATAAGTCATCTTCTATAGCACAGTCTCCAAGCACCAAGTTTCTGGGCTTAATCAGAATCTGCTTTTTTCAGTTTATGTATATTTTAGTACAACTTTATGCTGTGGTTTTGATACTTTACAGCTGAAAAAATAGCCTTCAGTAATCAAATTATGGCCTTGAAAATATCAAGCACTAAGCAGAATCTGCTCCTAGATATAAAACAAACACCAGAGTATACTGGCCAATGAGAACCATTCTTTCAATTCACATAGTGTCGCTTTGAACATTGCTTTCAAAGAGAACTGCTGTTTGATATTACCCGTCACAGACTTGCCTCCCTTCCTCAGGGCAGGATTTGAATCTCAGATGAAGGTCTGTGTTAGAATTCATCTTTGATAACCCATGTTTTCATAAGAGGGTACATTAACGGGATCGGTGGTCAGGCCTCGCTGGGTTGGTTGATGCATGTGTCACAGATCAATGCTCTTGACATCAATCACTAGCTGAGTCTGGTCCAGGCGCAATTAATTTTTACAGACTGTTGTCATATAGCTGGAATAATACTGAGTGAGTGAGTGAGTTTAGTTTTACATCACACTCAGCAATATTCAAGCTATATGGTGGATAGAGTCTAAATAATGAAACTCCTGGACCAGACAATCCAGTGATCAACAGCATGAGCATCGATCTGTGCAAGTGGGAACTGATGACATGGAATCTACCAAATCAGCGAGAGCCTGACCACCCGATCCCATTAGTCGCGTCTAACGACAAGCATGGGTTACTGAAGATCAATTCTAACCCGGATCTTCACAGGTTGGAATAATACTGAGTGTGGCGTAAACAAGACAGACAATAAGTGGATTATTTTGGTCCAGGTTCGACAAATTCAAAGTCACTGTCGTATACAAGGAACACTGTGAAGTGCAAGGTTAAACAAACAAACATTCGCAAACTGAAACAGGAAGGTGATTTTTGTAGTCAGATTAATTTTCAACAAGTGTATAGTTTACATGCAGAGGATAACACATGTTATCAGTTTGTTATGTTTATGTTTGCAGTCCCTAGAGAAACGTCTAGCTGGGATCCTACGTCAGGCATTCTGTCAGTGTCCTACTGTAGAGGCACAGCTCCGACTCCTGGAGGTGTTTGAGGGTGTCAGTAGCAGGGAGCTCGTCCAGGTATGTTTACTTGTGTCTTCACAGGGCGGTGGGGTAGCCTAGTGGTTAAAGCATTCGCTTGTCATGCCGAAGGTCCGGGTTGAGTCCCCACATGGGTACAATGTGTGAAGCCCATTTCTGGTGTCCCCCGCCATGATATTGCTGGAATATTGCTAAAACTGACGTAAAACTAAACTCACTCACTCACCTTCTTGTGTCTTCATCATGTTAATGTGACTGTCTCCTTGGTCGGGTAGCCTTGTGGTGAAAGCTTTCGCGCATCACGCCGAGGATCTGGGTTCGATTCCCCACATGGGTACAATGTGTGAAGCCCATTTCTGGTGTCCCCTGCTGTGATATTGCTGGAATATTGCTAAATAAATCGGCGTAAAAATAAACTCACTCTCTTACTCCTTGGTCTAGTGGATAGAGTGTTTGCCCTGAGAGCTGAGGGTTAGTGGTTCCAGCCCCAACCTGAAGAAATGAAGACTTTTAACCTCCTTGCGCTCAGGGGATAAAACAAAGACTGTAAACTGCAGAGTCACCAGATTTCGGTGTTAACACCTGACAAAGGGATACTCACCTTTTTCACATTGATTTTATGATATATGGTATATCTCAGCTTGTTCAGGTCTAAAGAGCCACCTGTGAAGATCTGGGGTTAGAATTGATCTTCAGTAATCCATGCTTGTCGTAAGAGGCGACTAAAGGGATTGGATGGTCAGGCTGTCTGACTTGGTTGACATATGTCATTGTATCCCTATTGTGTAGATCGACGCTTATGCTGTTGATCACTGGATTGGCTGGTCCTGACTTGATTTTTTACAGGCCGCTGCCACATAGCTGGAATATTGCTGAGTGCGGGTATAAACAACAAAACAACCCACCCTATAGAGCCAACTAAAACGGGGATTAGGTTGTCAGGTCCTGTGATGATTATATCATTTGACATGTGTGCAGCTGGATTTGTGTGAACTGTACCTCGTGTTGTAGGGCCCACCTCGGTGACAAGGATGAACAACTGGTTCGAGGAGCCTTCCTCATGAGCTGCAGCAAGTCAGGGCCATGTTCTCGCGAGAACTCCATCTCACCCCCACACTACAACATGCCCCTGTCGTCAGCAGGCTTATGGGTGGTGGCACTCAGAGAGAGAATTAGGGTATGTGTTGTTTTTTCCACAGCCTTTGATGATGATGATGATGATGATGATGATGATGATGATGATCTGAAGATTGTGCAAATTGGCAAGAACATATGATTCTGGTTACCAGGGCCCCTGTTTCACAAAGCTCTGCGTAGCCTACGACAATCGTAATTCAATGTTACAGAATAGGAAGTAGAAGATCCCACGAGGAAAGTTACGATCTTAGGCTGATGAGAGCTTTGTGAAGCGGGCCCTGATCTTAGAGGTCTAAGATGTATTGTAGGGTATGCGCTTGCTTTGTATAACCTCATTGATGATGATGATGATGATGATAATGATGATGATGATAATTGAATTTAGCGAATATACATGCAGGAAATTTCCTTTTGTTGTCTGACTGATTGCTTTAAGTTATTGATCTATACTGAAACATTTCCTATGTATCTACTATCGTCCGTCAACTACCGAGAACTGCCTGTCAGTACAATGTGTTGCTATTATGTTGATGATGTTGTTGGCAGATACCATGGGAGAAACCGTCATGTGAGTCCCCACTCAGTGGAGGGGCAGTGGTAACTTGCGAGATCACGGGAAACATTACAATGACTGCATTCAAGAACTGGAAGCGTGAGTATAGTTGCACCTGGACATCGGTCACTACATCACTGTCGGTAGGGTCATTATGCTAAAGATAAGGCGATGGGCCCTGAGTGGTTAAAGCGTTCGCTCGTCATAACGGCAAGACCGGGTTCGAATCCCCACATGGGTACAATGTGAAGCCCTTTTCTGGTGTCCCCGTCGTGATGTTGCTGGAATATTGCTAAAAGCGGGCGCTAAAACCAAACTCAGTCAGTCATTTTTTCACAAAACAAGGCCCAGAGGAACCAGCCCTGAAGTGGTATGAGTAGACTGATGTTACTTAAATAGGTCCGATAATATCATTGTTAGGCGGTGGGTAGCCTAGTAGGTTGGGCGGGTCCATATTTTTTACCCGGTACCCCACCCTATTACTCCAACCCTACCGGATACTACCGTCATGCTAATTCCTGACATCAAATTTGCAAGAAATGGCAATATATTCTTCGAGCTCAAGAGCTAAAATGTACGAGTTTTCAATATCACTTAACCATGAATTATATTCAGAAAGAAGTGACAGTAAATTATGTCCTGTAATCTTCAGACTTCAATATAACCTTTAAATCATGAAAAAATAACATATTCACGTTGTTTAATCTATTAGTCACATGATCATGATGGGTCGAGTATTGAGGCAATTACCGAGGGTCCAACTCAATACCCACCCGTTCTGGGAGTATCCGGAGTTACCAGTCCCAACCCTATTGTCAAAATTTGGCTAAAAGGTATTTTGCTCACCGTCACTTCAAAGACCCTAGGTTTGATTTCCCACAATGGGTACAATGTATTGAAGCCATTTCTGGTATTACCGCGTCATGATATTGCTGGAATATTGCTAAAAGCGGCGTAAAACTCACTCTCACTCACTCACTCACTCATTCATATCATTGAAGATATTCCAGTTAATTGCCAATTCGACTT